ATCACAAAAAATTATCTTTCATTCATTCCCATTAATCTTGGATTATCTTACCTCATGAACGAGATTAGTCTGTAGGCAGCAGCGTCTGATGCACAGTAATAACTGACTCTTCAACTTAAATGGCCCATTAACAGAAAGGTGGAGGGGAAGAAGCATCCAAAATTTACAACTTCCTGAAAGAAGCTCGTAGCCACCGCCTAACAAGATGGGGCCCAGCATTTATTCATCAGAAGATGAAAATGTAATAAAATACGCTTATACACACACACACATACATATCTTAAAGTTAAAGAGAGTGCATGTTTGTTTGTTCTTGGAAATTGTTATAGCTATGATACCTGGGCATGGTAATATTCCGATAACGATTTACTATTTCCATAGAGTATGTGTTCATATCTACAACATCAAATCCAGCGCTTACAAATAACGTTGACAAGTATTCTTCAGAGAACTAGAATGAGCACTAAACATATCAATAGAAATCACACAATTAGAAATCTAAACCATGAATAAATGACAAACCTTGGTAGCAATATAAATAATCTCCAGAGTTTACATATTGGGGAACTTACAGTTCCATCTCGAAAATAAAAATTATCACTAATCATCTGGTTTCTTTTGTGCAACTTCACCTAAAAATTTGAAGGGAAAAAGAGTAGAAACAAGGTAGCTTATTTGCGTTTTAATTTGAGCTTCAAAACAGAAATAAGAGTTATTTTATTTTTTGCAAGAAATAGAACAAAGGGATCTTGTTAAACATCAGCAAAAGTTGTGCGACGTTGATGTTTTGATGCAGATATGACATCATTTCATACTTGAGAAAAATCTCCACATGCATAATCATGAAAAAGAATGTGACCGTTTGGCTGCAAATATAAGCAACATCAGCATACTTACAGTTATATAGCAGGCCAATGATATGTAGATGCAAAGCAGGCTAAATATTCAGAGAACAATAAAAGAGCAAGGAAAATGTTCTAATCCAAACAAAGAGTACCTTTAGTACTTTTTTAAAGTTCTGTAAAGTCCAAGGCATCTTATTTGGAGAAGCTGCAGACAACATAAAGATCTACCGAGAAGTTAGGTGTATGTTAAAGATCTGCCAAGAATCGTCTATGAGAGAATTAAAAAAAAAGAAATGACACTGTAGACCATGAGTTATTCCGTAGTATAGACACATGATCTCACTAACTGAGGGCTTTGAATTTAATCCCTATGTTGATCATAAGGTGGCGATTTACGCCCTTTAGGGTCTGACTACTTTGCATGTAGAGAGTTTGTAGGTTTTAGTATATATCTTGAGTGAGTTATATTTGAAATGTTTTATAAGCACATTACATTATGTTTGAGAAATGTCAAATAGATATCAGAATATGGACTTCAAAGTTTTACCCTAATAATACTCTCCACCCAAACAGACCCCATGGCACCACAACACCACCTTTAAGATTAAAGTTTCACATTACGAAAGAAAATGCCATTTTCATTCAACTAAATGACAAATATTGGAGTCTACAATTAACGGATGACAAATCAATACCACAGTGTAACTTGGAAACTAGAAGAATTGTTTCCCTTAACAGAAATTAAAAGCATGAAGCTATAACGTGTCAATAGAAAAGTTCTTGAATTAATCAATGGATACCAACAAAAAAGAAGATACACAAAGCCAGATACTAGAGTACTTTGATTGTTAATGCCATCACTCACAAGGGTTACAACATCAACAGTTGAGGGTTTGATTACATCATTGAGATCATCCTTTGCAGCATCACACACAAAGACACTTGTTTCTGCATTTCCCGGGATCGTTGTAATACCAGAATAGGGGTCCAAAGACACTTCCCTCAATACTTTTTCACCTCTAAAATGGAATTTCCTTCACCATCCCCATACTCACCATAAAAATGGCTCCCCCAATCCTTCTCCAAGTAATGTCTGTTCTTGAAAAAATGGGTAATAGAGAAAATGCAGTAAAAATTGAATCTTTCGTGATATATCAAGAAAAATGATATTGAAGATTTAATCCATATAATTTGTTAGATGCGGAGAATCCATATAATTGAATCCATATAATGAGTACTGAGTTGGTTTGCGGAGACCTTGTTTTGGTGGCGCTTGTAGAAGTCATCCCAGTACTTCATAGGCTTGTTGATGTAGGAATGCTCACTCTGGCAACAGCTCAGCCTGATGGGAAATGATAAATCATCTAGGAGAAGGCCACACATCCAGCGGACAACGGCGATTGAGCCTCCGGAACACGGCGGCGCTAATCGTGTCTTGGATGGATGGAGAAATTTCCATTCCAGGTGGACACGTGTGATTAACCCCACTAATGCTTGAGTCACGTTCAATATACTCACAAAATACACAAATTTAATATTTTTGTATTTTAGATTTTATTTTTTAATCATTTGAGACTATTATTGAATCCATTACTTTACTTATTCGGTAAGTTTATAAATTTTGTAACAGATTTGTTTATAACTCTAACATTTTTCTTTTTTAAAATTTTTTTGAGCAACTCTCATACTACGAGTGTAATATTTATTCTTCTTATAATCTCATTCTCTTAATTGCATAGATTATGCTCGAACACTAGATGTTTAAAAAAATTACATTTGATAGTCAAATTATTTCATATGTTAATATATTTCTTTTTATTTGACTGTTCACGATCTCAAGAAAAATAATATTTTAGTTATTATTAATATATGTATGACTTATATATATAAAGCAATCTTCCTAATAGTAGTAAAAAGCATTAAATACCAAAATAGGAGTCCAAAATCTTTTATTACCAAATAGATGTATAATGACAATGTGATGTAAGAGCACACGTTTGTAGTGTGATGAAAATGTGAAAATAGTGTAATATGTAATGTGATCAGTCAAGCGTCGGTGATCCGCGGCGACACTCTAGTCGCCAGCAGTGATAAATGACAGTGTGGAAGTTACAATGTCAGAATGTGGTGAGTGTGTCAGTGTAACAATACTTTGGTCTTAAAAGATTTATGACTTTTATTTTGCTTATATAAATAGTAGTAAAGAATTAAGCTAATTACATGGTAGTTAAATGGCATCACTAATATATATTTTTTTAAAATGAAAAATCATGTGTTCAATCATCGATGAGAGAAATAACTTTATGTGATTCAATAAGTTAAAAAAGTATGAACATAAAGTATCTTGTAACGGAGTAATTAGTAGAATGTACGCTCAGAGCACATTATCACAAACTTTAAAGAACTCTCAAATCATATTTTAGATAATTTGATATTTGGAAGTTCTTATTATAAAACCAAAACTACTCTAAAATATATTTCAGATAAGAGTTGTTCTTTGGTGGACCTACGGTCACATTGACCTTCTCACTTTTTTTAAAGAAAAATTATCTTAATTAACCCCATATTTTCCCATTTTTTTTTAAAAATTATCTCACTTTTTACTAACATCGTAAATAATCATACATATCTGTATGTGTGCGAGTTTTGGATCTCCGTTAAGAACCTAAAGAATAATCACCTAAATTTTTAAAAATATCTATTTTCACAAATAAATGAAATGTGATATTATTTTAGGCAAATTTACTTTTTTTTCTTTTTTGATTTTAAATTTTAAATTTATGTTTTAAAAAATACAACAGGATACTCTTGTTAGAGATCAATTTTTTTAAAAAGAAGAATTTAAAAATTTTATATTCTGTTCTTGGGGAAATATAAATTAGATTATAGAAAAATAATCTAGAGTACCGCTCGAAAAAAAATTACAATACAAAAAAGTTATAATGAGTTATAAAAATAATTAGTATCATTTTATAGAAAAAATATTGTACCATTTTCACAACTTTTGAATTATTATTTTGGGAAAAAATGTATACTGGATTAGTGAAAAAAATTACAATTTTTGTAGTGGCATTTTAGAAATAATTATACGGTCAGTAGAAAATTATTGATAAACATTTCGGAGTGTTGTTAATTAAAAAATTACAATATAATGAAAAATATAGTGGGTTATAAAAATAAAAGTTCGAGATAAAGGTATTGTGTTATTTTCACAACTATTGTAATGTTGTTTTGCAAAAAAATATTTAGAAAAATTCATAAAAAATATTCACAAGTTTTGTAGTATGATTTTTTAAAAATAATAATAGCATAGTATCAAAAAACAAATTAAAGTGTTGCTCAAGAAATAATTACAACTTACAGAAAAATGTAGTGAGTTATGAAGTAATTAAATTAGTTCCATTGAGTAGAATAATTTATTGTACAGTTTCTTAACCTTTTGAAATATTATTTTGGAAGAAAAAATTATTACCAGATTCTTGATTATTGAAAAAATAATTAGTTTTACTCTAAAAAAAATACTTCGTACTTAAACTTGATATTATTTAAAAAAATTAAAAATACGTTTTAATTTAAAATCTGAATTTAAATAAGCAAGAAAGGAGAATTTATTATCCCACTTTTCATTTATTTGCAAAAAATAAGTATTTTCTAAAAATTTTGTTAAATAACCGTTAGCATCTTAACAACGACCAAAACTCGTACACATGAGAAAAAGTGAGATTATTTTCGTGATAATAAAAAATGAGATTAGTTTTGGAAGAACATAAAAAAGTATGATTATTTGTTTTTATTTAAAAAAGGCTTAATTTAATTCTTAAAAAATGCTTATTTAATACTCCCTCCGTCCTGAATTATAATGTCTATTCACTATTCACAAGGTCAAACTTTATTCACTTTTAGTCAATTATCGTAAATCGAAACAGACGTTATAAAATGGGACGAAAGGAGTATATATAAAACTTTATCATAAAGTTTAATCCATGTAATATTTTACCTTGAGGATAATATGAGAAGTGAAAAAATGGTACCCGAACTCCCGAAGTGAATTTTTTCCAAAAAAAAATGAGGACGAGAAAGAGTTGAAAGTGGAAACCTGGAAGGATCGAGAGACTAAATAGTTTTTTAAAGGAAAAACGGTGTCGTATTATAACCGGTTGAACCGGGCCGATCTTTCTTCAAAGGCTTTATTTACAAGAAAGAAAAAACAAGACATTCCTCTCTCCCACCCGAATACCCGATTCCTCGAACTCATAAACCCTAACCTCCTCAATCCGACACCAAAGCAGCAGATCACGACGACGAGATTGTTCAACAATGGATCATCGTCCCCAATCTTCCAATGATGGAAACGCCAACCAAGACCAACAGAATCGCCGGCTATACAACCCTTACCAAGATCTGCAAATCCCAACACAGGCCTATTTTCAGCTCCCTACGGCCCCCGAGTTTCTCTTTCAGGAAGAAGCCCGCGCGCAGCGCCGATCTTGGGGTGAAAACATCACCTACTACACCGGAATCGGGTATCTCGGTGGAGCCACCGTCGGTGCCGGTAAAGGATTAGTGGACGGCGTCCGAGCTTCTGAGCCAGGCGAGTCGATGAAACTCCGGGTCAATAGAATCTTGAACGGGTGGGGTCACGCGGGGAGGAAATTTGGGAACCGTGCTGGTGTGGTTGGGCTGCTTTATGCTGGGATGGAGAGCGGATTGGTCGCTCTGAGAGATACCGATGACATCATCAACAGTGTGGCGGCTGGATTGGGAACTGGCGCGCTGTACAGAGCTGCATCGGGCGTGAGGTCGGCCGCTGTGGCCGGAGTTATTGGCGGCATGGTGGTCGGACTGGGAGTTACCGCGAAACAGGCAATGAAACGTTACGTCCCCATCTGAGTGTCATGCTTGTTCTGTTTCTTGGTGGTGTGTGTGATGATCCTTCTTATTTGTTGCCCTCTGTTTTGGTAGAACTAGACAAAATTTTGGTCATAAATTTGCAGAATTGTTTTCTCTTTTCATATTGAATGGATCAACCATGTAGCTTGGGAGTGAAAGCTGCAACCTTTACCAGAAATTCATCTGTGATGTAATGGAATTTAACTGCAAATGCTTTATAATATTATGTTTATTGCAGAACATTATAAGGTTATTTTGTCTTAGTGGCAAGTTGAGATAAATTACCTGATCAACAAGTGCGTTAATAATATCTTTCTAATATCCACGGGTCTTTTTTACATTTTTAGGTGATATTCTCTGTCTCCCAAGGTTCTATTTGTTCTAAATGTATGGATGTCAATGAAGTGTGAATCACTCATGAAAAAAGCTATTGCTAGTTTAATGTTCTCCTGGGTGTTATTTGTGGATCCTTTGTGTGTTTTTGTGATATTATGTGAATAAGTGCCTGCACATTACCATTTGCATATACTGTTTTTTTCCATAGTATTTGTTCTTTCCCATTTCCGTTCTCTTACTTTGTCTTTGCTATTGTGTTTGCCTTGTCTGCGTGTCTGCGCTTTTGTGTTTGGTCCTCAAGATTTTTTGGAAACGTCTCTCTACTTCATACTAGGGGTAAGGTCTGTATACATGTATCCTCCCTAGACCATGTGTTGTGGATTGGATTGCTGACCTGTTGCTGTAGTAGTATTTGTGCTCTTTAAGTCTGAACTGTGGTATTTTACCACGGCTGAACTGTGGAGCATTAAGCATCTGGTTCGTTAGGGTAATTTTTGCAGATAGAGTTGTCGGCGTTGCATTTAAGTTACGCTTGGTGAGCTGTGATAATTTACTAACTGGAGTTGTGCTGATGGACTTTGCTATGCTTACAAACCGATCGCCAACCAGTTTGGGCACCCTCCATGGGAAGGAAAAGAAAAACTGAAATTTCCTACTTTGTATTTTCCTACAACTGATCACCAACCAACCAGTTTGGGAACACGAAAGGGGCCAACATTTTTTTTCTTGCTTTGCTCTGAAATGTGACTGATGCTTGTTTGTTTCTGGCTCATATATGTGAGAACCAAGCAGGTTGGTTCTAGTCCTCAATGCTTAAAATAGTTCTAAACCCCATAAGAAATTGGATTGGTCCGAGGCGTGGTGGTATGTAAGGGTATATAGTTTCCCTCCCCCCGCCCTCGATGTTGATCTGTATCTGCGGATTGAATTGTTGATGGAAACAAACTATTAGAAATCTTATGGTTTTGCATCTAGAGATTTATCCATGTTACAATGGCCCTTGGATGGATTTTGTGATGGCATGTCATGGTGAGATCCTTTTTGCTTAATCAATGCCCAACTTTCACGCATAAGAGTCCTTGAAATTTGTTCCAAACTTTCTGTGTTCCCAAGTATTTAATAATAGTAAATCATTTCATTTATTTTTATATTGTAATGATGGAATTTGTGATGGGTATGGGTTACTGGATTGGACTATACGACACTTGAGTTGAACCACATTAATAGATTGAATTTAATTAATTATTTAGTTCAACTTAAGAAGTTATATACTCCGTATCAATGATTTCTTTCTCACTTTTACGATGTGGGATGCACTCTAACATGTAACGTCTTTTTGTTCGTAACTTTTGTATGTAAGTTATGACGGAGTACTTGACAAATAATATACCATCCGAAATCTCTTCAAAAGATCTATCCAATGACACCTATATTGCATATATAATTTTGATTTTATGTCGCGAACTTGTTATGATTATTACTCCGTATTTTTTGACACCTATATTGCATATATAATTGGCAAAATTGATAAGAATACTCATAGAAATTATAGATTTTACATAAATACTCCCAAATTTGTTTATTTATAGCATTATTCCCATATTTTTCTTTTATTTACATCATTATCTCCAAATTTGGTAGTGATCATTAGTGTTACTTGGATGTGTTTTTTTGGCGCTAAGTGAGCAGTTAAAATGCAGACACGTATTTTTTTCACTTTAATATACCGAATTCACCTCAACTTATTCTCTCCATCGCTTTTCTCACTTCTTAGTGAGCCTAATCATTTCCCTTATTTCCCATCACTTTTTTTAAAAAATTAGATTTCAAACTTCCTAAATCTTTTTAATGTTTAGTATCAAGTCTGTTCATATTAATTTAATTTGAATTCAATAAAAAAAGATGAAGAACCCCGTTTAAAAGGACACACCAGAGGAACACTGATGATGAAGCAATCACAAAGTAATGATGTAAATAATAGACAATTGTGGGAGTAACTGTGTAAATAAACAAATTTGAGAGTATTTATGTAAAACTTATAATTTCTGAGAGTATTCTTATGATTTTTTACTATATAATTTTGATTTTATGTCGTGAACTTGTTATGATTATTACTCTGTATTTATTTTGGAAAGAAATGTGTTTTAAGTATAAATTATGTCTCGTTTATTTTCTCCTTTTAAATTAAGTTAGTTTATGTTTTTTTGTTTTTTATTTGTTATAAAAAATTAAAGAAAAAACTTGTACAAAAAAGTTTTATTTCTTCTATTTTAAGTGGGTTGCCAATGCACAAATTATTGAGTACAAGTTTTATTTTACAAAAACTTGTATACAAATTATTGAGTACGAGCCCTTGGAAATGTAAGTGGGTTGCCAATGCACATTTAGTCAAGTAAAAATGGAGTATATATATATTCCCTCGGTACAGATTTTAAACAGGTTGGGACTACTCATCCTATACCCGACATTTTATTTCTTTAAAATAACGGGTACGAATTCAAGTGCAGGTAAATGGTAATACGTAGTATTTTTTTATTTTTAAACTCGTAAAAAAATTACGGGTATTATACGAGTTTGAGTCTATACCCAACTTATTGACATGCCTAGTCCTTGTATAATGGGGGGAACACAAAGAAATTGCATGAATTACTAAGAAAACAAGCTAATAAGGTGAGAGGTTTGTTGATTTATTTCTATTTGCACGAAAAATATCACGAAACACCCACCATCGAGCGCATGTGCGTGAGAGAGAGAGAGAGAGAGTAACACCGATTCGAGTAATTTATACACATTATGATATAATAACGCCTCTCACTCTGGCATTCCATACAAGAAATCTATCATACAAACAAAAAGGGAACAAAAAAAGAAGAAACATAAGACGAAAAAGCTTTCGAATCCAAACAAATGAAGCAACTTATATAAACGGGACAGTTCATAATAATATATATGCAGATGATGATGGATGGATGGGGTTTTTTTTGTTTCTGTGTTAGCAACCTTATAGGCATCTTTATTGCTGTTCTTGCTGGAGTTACGTACCGTCTTCTTCATTCATACTTGATACTTCTTCTTCAAAGCAGGCCCTCGACCCGGGGGGCAAATAACCAAAATATATCGAAAGAAATGAAAAAAACCAAAAAGAAAAGACGTAGCGGGTGGTGGTGGGGTGGTGGTGCAATTTGTGTGTGTTGTGTGTCAATTGCTGAGGCTGAGGCCCTCTATACCTTTAAGGGTGGAATCGAAATTTTTAATATTGGTTTTACTTGTTGAGGAGTTTCGCTTGTGATCAGAAGATGGGATGTGAGGGGAGGAGCTCTTCTGCGCGGCGGTGCTTGACATTTTGTGTAGCATTTCTGGGCTCACGTCTGTTGGACGTGTAAATGATAGGTCGGGCCCACGCCCAGCATCACCACGGCTGCTCGCTTGCCTTGACGATCCACCCAATCGGAAGAAACTTGAACTTGACAACTGCAATCAAGCAAGCAAAAGTTGCAACTCACTTTCTTTTTGGTAATTAAAAAAAAAACAAGTAGGGGCAGGGGGTTTCGGATGGCGTTTTTACCATTTTGCCCATGCCCAAGTCATTGGTTGGGCCTTTCTGTTTGATCCCAGCATTAGTGCTTCTGCTGTGTGCCAAATTTCCAGTATGCTTACCTTCCTCACCACCTGTACAGTACGTGCTTTCACCGTCGGATTCAAAAATAAATAATTTCAAATAAGGCCGTGCAAAGGCTCCTTCACTAGTTTTCGTTTTTGTCTCTTTTTCTGTAGCGGCTTGGAGTCACGTTTTTTTCGTTATTGCTAGTTTTTACAAAAGAGGGCTCATTTGATTGTGTCACAAATTAGTAGTAGATTATAAGGGCAAAGGGAGGTTCCATCCATCCATCCTAGAAACCAAAAAAGAAGAGACCCACACACCTGTTGCTTGCCTATCAACATTATTAGCAACAGCACGGGGCATTCCTGAACTCAGCCCACTGCCACCCTGTCACATACATTAAACATTATTATTATTATTAATGTAATATTGTTTTTATTATCATTACTATTGAATTTTGGAGCAGAAAGAACTAATAATTGAGGTTGAGGGATGAAGAGAAATATAATAATTGATCTTAAATTGGTTTAACTCACAAGAGCACGAGAGGGAGGATTTGCAAGCTGAGATTGCTGGTATTTAAGAATGGTCCAGTCAAACACATAATCGAACTGAAAACCTGAAAACCATAAGCCCCACATATACAACGTTACAGTCCGTTTGGAACCCAGAATGTTCCATGGAGAAAAATGTAAGGGAAAATCCAAACCATCTGTTAGGGAACTGAAGAGGAAGAGCTTACGATCCTATAGTCCGTGACTAATTAGAAAGAATTGATTTGCTTCAATGATGATAACTTGATTAATGATTGTGAGCGTATAAATAGGAAAAAAATCTTCCAAAAAACATCGTAATCGTACTAGGAAACAAAAACCCTTATTTATTCTATTAACAAAAATAAAATAATACTGATAGGAAACTATTGATAGTTCTTATAGTAATAGGAAGCTAATAATAGTGATAGAGAACTTAAAATAATAATAATAAAAAATTATTATTTACAGGACACTAACAATTGGAAATCACTAATTAAAGATCTAATCCTAGATCTGTAACACCATATGATATGGTTTTCTCTCATTTTAACCTCAATCGGTGCAGCCTCCACTTTCTTTCGAAATGACTCCATTTCGCTTCAATCTCAAAGGGAAAAATGCTACCTTCAGCGTTTTCCATTTCTAAATTTGCACTCCATTTGTTCTATTTTCTGGAACTCAAGAAAATAACGGCATTGTCTTAAAAACAACAATGCGCCCACCGATTCTAAAGCACTTAGATTCCAAAGCTCTGTCTCCGTAATTCTAACTTCTGTTTTAGTTTCACCAATTGACATTTTATCCTTCCCCTAGCATCCATGTAGCGTGCTCTATCTTTCCTGCTCACTCTATGTGTGATGTGTCTTGGTTTGTGAAAGGTATGGTTAGGGTACATCTTGGCCCTAGCCATACTTCCGATAGGGATATATTGGGTATGTTTGGTTTGCGTTGGATTTTACCCATTCCCTAGAACTTTATGGGATCAAAACATACCCCTAAGTAAATTGCAGATAAGCAGAACAAACAACTACAATAAACTAAGTAAAATTCCACGAACGTAGGGTCATCCCTAGTGTAAGTAGAGAGGTTGGTTCCAAGACACCCCATGTTCAAAGACAATAGTGCAGGCAACGAAAATACATTTGCACGAAGCAAGCAAGAGTCCAGGGCACATAATGCAAACACCCATAAGCATAACATGAAAGATTCATATTTTTTTAATTCAAACCTTCACGGATAAAAAGTTCACGGAAGATTCTCTTGAGATAAGAATAATCAGGACCATCCTCAAATCTAAGTGATCGGCAGTAATGAAAGTAAGAAGCGAATTCTGCAGGATATCCCCGACACAGAGCCTGCCAAATGAAAGTTAACGAGAATGTCAGAAAATAATATAAAGTAATTCATCTCTTACACAATAAAAAATGTATTTAGAACTTGCATTATTACCTCTATAGATGTGGAAACTTTCTTCTCACTAATCTTGTCATATTTCTGTTTTTTGTTTCCAGCTTTTAACCCCTGCCAAGGAAGACTACACATTTGGAAGTCATAAGAACAGGTACAGAAGTAAAAGTAGAAAAAAATGGACAGGCATAGAGACACCTATTTACCTTCCCCGTAAAAAATACATGAGCACAAAGCCAAGTGATTCCAAATCATCCCTCCTGCTTTGTTCTTTATGACACGACGGAACAAGAAGGAATCAAATCAAGAATTATTAATAATGATTATGAACGAAAATATGAAAATTACATGCCATACTTACCAATACCAAGGTGAGTGTTCATGCTTGCATATCTGGCAGTACCCGTCAAATTTTTATTTTCTCTGTATGTAACATCATAAACCACATTATTCATACTGACATGGAAAACACTTCCCGTGACTGATTTGATCATCTACAAATGACAAAATTAAGCCCAAAGGAGCAAGCTCCAAGATTGTAGACACATGTATTTATCTCGGCATAGTGAAGGAACCATAAAGAGACCATTTTGGACCCGGGGAATGCTATAGAAATAAAATAGGGAGAAAAACAGAGTAGAAAGGAAAGAAATTATGGGAATTTTTTATATTTTAAAAAATGTTCAAACACAACCAACTAATATTAGATATTTGCTCAAACTCATTTTTATAAAGATTAAGAAATATAAGTATATGTAAAAAAAGAAGTAAAAACTTGAAATTTCAATTGTATTTTCTGAAGCAATAGCATAGTTTTCCTTCCCCTAGAATTTTCTGAGTTCTAAACATGTCCTAAATAAACATGGAAACAATCTATGAATACAGTTGTGGAACAAAGGGACTCATCTCTAGTGTGTAATTCTAAGAGAAAGCCAAAACCAATAACATGTTGATAAGTGGAAGGAAGATTGATCACCTATATGGAATATGTTGGTGTGTTGATGAGTCCCTGTACTTCTTAGCCAGCCCAAAATCAATAATATAGACCTATTCACAATCAGTTGCATTAGGGAATCTGATTCCACAAGCCAAGACAAGCATGCAAATTTATGAATAAGAAAAATTTGCCCAAACCTGATTTGCACGCCTTCCTAACCCCATAAGGAAGTTATCGGGCTTGAGATCTCGATGAAGGAAAGATTTTGTATGAACAAATTCCACCCGGTTTATCTGGGAAGAAATCGCTTTTCACAAGGGTGAAGAGAATTTTATTTGCTTAACAAACTATATAACCATATGAATGAAACTTGACTCTACCATCTGATCAGCAAGCATAAGAACAGTCTTCAGAGAGAGCTTCCTACTGCAGAAATTGAATAGATCTTCTAGACTTGGTCCCAGCAAATCAATCACAAGTACATTATAGTCTCCTTCTACACCAAACCATTTTACATTGGGGATTCCGGCTGCAGCCAAAAAGGTATTCAGGATTAAACAGACCACTTAAAAACAAAAGGTTGAAAAATCATAGGTCGAGAGAGAAATTTACTTCCTCCTTGTAGCAATTTATACAACTTTGACTCGTATAGTAATTGAGGATGCTTTGTCTTTACATTCTCCTAAATAGGAAAATGATCAAATAAGCACAATAAAGAAGTAGATTGATATTGAATCACTAACCTGTCATGCTACACTCTTGCAAAAACCAAACCAAACCAAACCAGGACATGAATTATTGTACTCATTTCACAAGAATTGACTCAATAATTCAATACCCACACAACAAATGATGCCAAGAAGTTCATTGAAATTTGTTTCTTGACAGATTACGAATTGAAGAACACGTTAGTAGAAACAGATACAGTCCATCAATGTTTGGTAATAACTACTAAAATTTCATGGGGTAAATTTTCAAGAACTTTTGAAGATTGGATCTTTTACTCACAAGCTTAATGGCCACCTCTTCATTACTCTGAACATTAGTCCCTGGAAAATTCGAAGAACAAATTAGGAAAACAAGAAAAGGGGGAGAATCCTTAAAAGATGCAAACTTTAGGGCAACCTACCAAGATAGATCTCTCCGAATGAGCCGCTGCCGATTTTCCGACCAAGCCGGAACTTATTTCCAACGCGAGGCTCCATCGAAAGAGCTCTCTGATTTCCAAGATCAAATTAGCTACGGAATTTCAAATTCAAGGAGAAAAAAAAAGATGAAAAAGAAAAGAACTTTGGAGATGAAAATGAAATCCCAGAGAGAGATAATTCAGGGGGGAAAAAGACAACCTTTGAGTTACTGGCAGAATACGGATTTCGGTTTCTGCCCCGCGGTGGTGGGGAGAGGAAGGAGAAGAGAGCGAATCATAAAGCTTTTGCAATCCAAGCAGGCAGACAGACTCTTTCTTATTGATTGCAATTATACGTTTTTCCCAGGCAGTTAATTGCTCCTTTTTGATCTTTTTCTTTTTTCAGTAAAGACCGCTCCGTAATTTTTAATGTCAAAAAGTAATTCCCCTTTTAAATTCTCCAAATTAAAAAAGAAAGAAAGAATAGCGCGAAGGTTATGGATTTAGAATTTATCAGTAAGAGACCACGGAGCTGGAGTAGCTCAGTTGGTTAGAGCATGTGGCTGTTAACCACAAGGTCGAAGGTTCAACCCCTTCCTCTAGCGATATTTCTTTTCTTTTCCAATCCTTATTTTTCGTACGCATAAAATGCCATTTTGAATTATTTTAAGTGTGGTCTCCCAGCGCAATTTTGTTGTTACTTTTTTTTTTTGGTAAAAACCTAATTTCAATCAGTATTTTTCCTAAAATATTCTAATAAAGTACTCTCTCCAAATTTAAATCATCTGCATCGGTTTATTATATTTGAATAAAATAATTTTCAAGTCATTTTATAAGAGAAATGTTGTAAAATTGTGAAATAAAAATTATATATTTAAAAACTATATCAAGAAATTTACAAAACTACTAGTGATATAATAATATTATTTTATCAACTGACTAACAAAAATAAGGAAATAAAGTGAATGTAATTTTATCCTATGAATAACAAAGACACAAAAGGAGTATATTTATGAGTAATGCTAGAATCACAAACAAACAATTCACAAAATTCACAAACTTGCCTTATTAAAGTTTGTGAATTATATGTTTGTGACTCTAGCATTTTCCTATATTTATTGAAAAGCTATATTATTGGATGTGGATCACTTCTTTCTCGACCCTTAATCCCGACCCTTTGTGTCATTTCTAAATTGTCATCTAACACAAGTTTCTTCCTCATTCAGTGTCATTCTTACTAATTTATTGTACCCTTCATGTCCATTTTTTTCTCATTTAGTTTTGAAAATTATAATTTATACTTTTTGTTGATATATCAATTTGTAAACCAAATAAATTAAAAAGAATGCACATTGTTTGACATGAAAAGAAAAAGGGGGTAGAGGGAGTAATTATGAAAATTTAAAGTTCATACTTTTATTTATTTATTATTATGAAATTGAAATGCTCCATGTTGTCTCGAAATATAGTTTATGGTATGCCTTTACAAAATTAAAAAGGAGAAATAGACAACTAAGATTAAAATATGCTACTTTTATTTTTAGATCTTGGATTATTGTCATTATTTTCCTAAAAAAGTAGTTAGTTGAATTAAACTATGATGTACAGAGTATATACTACACACATAGTAAGCATGAGATGGACATGATATACTCCCTCTGTCCTATATCTTTCTTCCCGTTGCGCAAAACGAAGAAAAATCTCAAGTTTTTTCAATCTATTTTATTTAAATATTGGTATAGAAATAAAAAATAAAACATACATATTTAAAAACTATATCTAAAGTTCAACAAAACAAGTGGTGACAAGAATATTTTATTTTATCATATAGGCCATGAAAAAACACAAATAAATATAAATTCCCGTGAAGTTGGAATAGTGCTCTGGGAAGAAAGATATAGGACGAAGGGAGTAATACTTGTGCGGCATTCATGTTGCCACCACACACTCCCAATCTTTCCTAATATGTCCATTACAACAAAATGGTTAAAGTTTGGTGTAACTTTGGGTCTCTTAATGTTTTGTCGCCTTGTCGATGGTAGCAAATGGTACAAATTAACATTTGTAATGTGCTCTTTAAACAAAATAAAAATGCTAAGCAATTGCTCTAGAGATAGAATTTGATAGTATATGAAAAAACAAATCATGAATGTTATACTAAATCATGACCTCCTATGATTTATCTGTTAAACAAGACTACCTCATAACCAATTTCGGTGATCAATTAAATTAATATAGTGTTTAGGAATTATAATTCATTTGAAATCTTAGATTTCAATTCTAACCATTGAAATTCCACAATTTCAAATCTCAAATGTTGTTTGGGAAGTCATAGAATTTCAATTCTAGAATTTGAATTTTGAAGTCAGTGAAGACGAGAACGAAAGCGGGTTGATATGTATGAAATGGGAGAAGTGGGAGAAGCTGAATCTATACGAATGAATTGGCTAACCGTGCCACTGTGCTTGGGGGAGCCTAGCAAAGATTTCAATTGACCTCTCCTCATTATTGAAATTGTGATCTAAGGATTTTATTCTCTTGAAACAACTATCATATCAAGCTTAAGTCAATTGAAGTTAGTTTTACTCCAAACTACAAAAGTATAAACAGACACACATCAAACAACAACTATTGAAAACTAAACCATAGCAATGAGCGTTGTACAAGGCGCTTGCGTTGGGAGTAACTCATTCTTCATTGCAAGAATTATTCGAGCCAGATAATGCGTAGGAGGATTTGAAACGCATTATAAGATTTTCAAAGTTTAGCCGAGGCCTAACTCAAGACGCTACTACCTTGACGCATTTGGTTTGGGATTGCTATCGCACGTTACTTTGAGATTCATTACTGAAGAGTGTCCTAATAAGAATATTTTTTACTTCGCTCATCGTTCATTTGGGAACTTTTGAACTCTCATTTCAGTTCGATTCCATTTTTACTCGACCACACTAAAATTCACTTCAAAATAACAACACAAAGTAAACAACTTTTGTCCATTTGAATCCAATTCATCCATTTGTATTATACACACAATACAGTACAGAACACCAAATGCAAAGGAGGAGGATGGTACAAAGCATGTCATTTCACAAAACTTTTGGGCTCATCCAACGATTGGGAGAAGTTACATAGAAAAAATAAAATATCTTGGAGAAGAACATGAAACTGTTAGAAGGAACCGTATCTGAAATTAAGACTCACTTATGATTTATGAAGAACTGATCCGACAACAGCCTCGGCTTCTTCCTTTACTCGCTCGAACACGTTCGGCCCCTTAACTTCATCAACAGGCGTGTTCCTATCAATTTCATCACTCCTTCCATGTGTTTCCTTGTCATGACGAACCTCTTCCTTACCTCTCTCATTCACCTCGCTGCATTTTTCTTCTTTACCACCCACATTTGCTACAGATAGAAGGTGAATTTTCAATTTTTCAACCTTAGAATTTATGTATATGCTTTCTTTTACCAAAAAACTGCATAAAAATTAAATCTTTATCAAATCTAGGGGAAAAATACACACACTTTTTTGTTGATCTTTATCATCCATACAACAACATCAAGGGAAAACCCTTTGTATATTGATAGTTTGATCCTCCCGTTTACATCTGAGTCAGTCCCAATTTACCCATCAGAAACAATTTGTGAATAAATAAGTTATTTACCAAATTTATGAACTGCAAACAAACTAAACATCTACAACTGTGTAAAACACAAACACGGATCAATTGGATTAAACATCTATAATATCAAGTGCAGAAGAAACCAAAATTTCTTAAATTTTCTTTTTTATTGTATTGGATACGGTCGGTGATCAAAGATCCAAACCTTGAATCATACAGGAATTTATGAAACGCTTCTCACAGAATATAGATGAAGATGAGAAACGTGTACCTGAAGCTGGTGCGGATTCCGCCATGAGAGGGATGAATGAATTATGCGAATTGCGATAGTCCTTAATTTCCTCCGATGGCAAACCGCCCAAGATGGGAAAATGATATGGTAGCACTGTTTTGTACACTTTTGACTTTTGGAACTGTTAATCTAAGTACTTTGACATATCAAATTCTCTCAATGTGTAAGCTTAAATATAGTCATGTGTGATCTTGTATGATTTGTCTTAACATATAGATTATTAATATATAATTTCTATAATTTTTTAATATACAAATTACAAGATAAAATGAATTAAAGAAGTGCATTGGATGGTGTGTCAAAAAGTAAGTGGACAAAGACAGTGGGACGGGGGAGTATAAAAATACACCTTGGTTTCAACCAATGTGATAGGATGAACCGATGCATTCCGGTGCCTATTTGACTCCAAAATCAAAATTGTAGGATGCAATTGAAGGGGGTGGGGGGTGCGTTCGGGTCAGGGCTGGGTGGGGGGTTTACCGGGGGTTAGGGGGTAAGAACCGTCAATTTTATAAACGGGGCACCGGAGATGACCTTCCATAAAAATATTAGAATAGGAGTATAAGTTTGTTATTTCTAAAATCGGTGTTATAATGTTAATAATGTTAACATATAATACCAATAGATATTCTAAAATGACAATAAACCGTGCCTCTAGGTTACAGTCCCGATTTCTATTTCTGAAACAAAAAATGAAACTTTACTTTAGAGATAAAAGTTATTTCCTTCGGCTCTCGTAAAGTTGTATTTCGGTCAAGCCTGAAACCTAGCTTGGCTCGTTACATGGGCTGAGTCCAGATACAAACATTTAATTGACTCCCGAGTGCTTTTAGAGAGTGATCAAAGTGAGTTTTAAATTTCGGAAAGAATAGGAGTATATGTTTTAGAGCATCTCCAACCATGTTAAAATGACTTGCTATATGTTATAATTTGACAAATTAAATAAAATTTCATACTCCAATGGGCTTGCTAATGTTTGACAAGTTTGCTTAAAAATGAAAATGGCTTGTTACTAATAACAAACTTGATAAAATATAGCAAGCCAAGAAAAAGAAGAAAAATGTTGGTTGGGTTAAATTTTTCATGTGCCATGACGTATTTGTTCCTTCACTTTCAGTACCACAACGCAAGAAAAATTAATAAATATTATTTTATGTTTTTTACAAAAAAAATAATTTTATTTTTTACCAAAAAAATATAAAATTTATTTTATTTTAAGTTTAAATAGCATACTTGTAGAATATTAATTAATTTTTATAATAAAATATTAAAATTATAATAAATAGTGTACTCTAATAGTGAAATCAATACATTTTTGCTAGATTATAGCAAGCAAATGTTGGAGATGATCATGTAAAATGAATTGCTATACCACTATTAACATGTTAATAAATAACTTTAGCAAGCCATGTTTAGCAAACATAATTCGAAATGCTCTTACCTCCTCATTTTATGACTAGCAACTTTTTTTGAGCCAAAAGATAAACCTCATTCTTGAAATTCATCAAATAATTAAATTTACAAAGAGAAATGCTAGAGTCACAAACACTTTGATCACAAAATACACAAACTTACTATTTGTGTATTTAAATATTTACTTTTTTAATTATTTAACATCACTTTATTAACTTAGTGAGGTGCACAAATAATAAGGTTGTGTATTTTGTGACTGAAATGTTTGTGACTCTAGCATTGCTCATTTACAAAAGTCCTACTCCCTATGTTTAATCACTTTAGCAACGCCCCCGGCAAGAAGAAATGAAAAAGGGGAGGAGAGTAATGTCAGTTTAATGTACTATCCGTTACTCGATTCTTAAGCTTTCTTTAAAGTTTTCCGAATTTCGAAATTTAAACCATTCAAATGCCCAACGCCTCCCCTCTTCTACTTCAAATCAGCTTATTCCCGTTTCTGTCCGAGAACAAAGGTTCCCTCTTCAGCAATGGGCGGTTCAGGAACGTGGATCAAGTCGCTCATCTCCCACAAGAAAACCCAATCCAACAACGTAAGATCCCAAATTCAAACTTTCACTTGTCTCGGCTAATTTCTGTTTTTTTTTAAAAAAAATTTCTTGTCAAGAAAGAAATGATTTTTTGCTGGGTTGTGCTAATCTTTACTGAGGTGTGCAGGAGGGGGGTGGAAAGAACATGAAATGGAAGCTATGGAGGAGCGCTTCGGGCGGATTAGTGACGTCTTCTGCAAAGAGAGGGAAGGGGAGGAAAGATCTCGGAGATTCCGAGGAATCTGAATCTTCTTTCATGTCTGATGGAGCTTTTGCTGCTGCCATGGCTACTCTGGTCAGAGCTCCACACAAGAACTTCTTGATGGTCAAGCAAGAATGGGCTGCCGTCCGTATCCAATCCTTTTTTCGGGCTTTTCTGGTACTGATTCTTGTGCTCTTTAAGTAATTTACTTCTCACTTAGTTTCATATTAGCAGTATTCACATTTTGTTTGGCATTAAGTTGGAAAGTGAAGAAGTTGGGGAAGTACTAATGCTAGTATTTCAAAAGATTGATCTTTTTTCAAAACAGGAAATGAGAAGGCTAATATGAAACAAATCCCAAGTAAATTAGAAACACTAATATGAAATTGGGAGATTAGTACTAACTCATTCAGGTCCTCTTTGGAACCCATAAAGTTGTAGGCGAAGATAACAGGAAAGAAAATATAGAGAAAAATGGGGCAGATAATAAAAGATAAGGCATAAGGGTAATTAATGGCTTAGCCAGTGAATTTAAAAGTTATACTAGGGAGTCAAGGTTTCTTATTTAAACATGGAATTTAAGTGTATGTGTTTCTGTGTACTACTCCATAATTTTTTAATGGGATTGCTCCACCTGTGACTAAGAAACCATTTGGTAAGATGTATATGGCTTAAAACCTTAAATGGCTGAATCTTCTGCATTTTGGTTTTGTTAAAATCCAAAACCTACTTATTTTGCTACCAAACCTACTTTTTTATGTTTTTAAGACTCATTTTATATGTTTAATTATGTCTATTAAATGAAGTCTAACTGATCTAAATTTATGTCTATTCTTTTACATAGCATTTTCTAGGAAATACCAAACATTAGAAAATAATTCTTATCATATTGTTTCCTTGGCATTTTCTGGGCTACAAACATCCCATTGGGTTCCTTGTTTTGCCAACTCAGAAAATTCTATGGATGAAAAGTAGAGAGGAAAATATGATGGAGATATGGAATAAATAAATAAATATGTGATAGAAAATAAAACACTTTCTCAAACCTCAATAGATTTATTTTTTGATATCTTTTTAACTTATTTTAATTATCAGTTTGTTTAGATAAAAGACCAGGCAATCTAAAAACATGTACTCATTGAAAAGCATGAACCACACTCCTTATTCCATAGACCTTGCCCAAAGTTTTCATCTTTCGACGCTTTAGATTCATCTTTCAGTTTTCCTATAGCTAAATTTAAAAGCTCAGCACTAAAAAGAAGATTCTTGAAATGACAATGGAAGGCAAAGCGAGCATTGAGGGCTTTGAAAGCAGTTGTAAGGATACAAGCCATATTCCGTGGTAGGCTAGTGAGGAAGCAGGCTGCGGTGACACTAAGGTGTATGCAGGCTCTTGTGCGCGTTCAAGCTCGACTAAGATCTCAATGTGGCCATTCACCTCTTCCTACTTCTGTTGATCCTATCATGCCGGCTGAGGTAATAACTACTAGCTTGATCTCTTTTACTAATGTGCACTCTCTGTAATTATGTTATGTACACAACATTATAATCTTGGGTATTGCAGAAAGGTTGGTGCATTCGCCATGGAACAGTAGAGGAAGTCGCGCTGAAGTTGCAAACGAAGCAAGAAGGGGCTTTCAGGAGGGAGAGGGCAATGCCATTTACTTATTCTCAAGTGGTAACTCTTTGAAGATATATACTCCCTCCGTCCCTAAATAAAGTTCCTCTTTCGTTTTTTCTTTGTCCCTAAATAAACTTCTCTTTTACCTTAAAAAACCCCTTTTACCCCTTACTTTTTCATACCCTACCTATCACATCATACCTTTTTATTAATAATCTACCTATCACATCTTACTTTAACACATCACATCAAGGGTATTTTTGGAAAGTCAACACCAAAATATCTCTCCCTTAAATCTTCAAAAAGTCAAAAATGGAACTTTATTAAGGGACGGAGGGAGTATATATATATTCTCAACTTCTGTTTGTTTCAAGCATGCATTTTTTAATGCTTTCGTCATAGTTTCTTGAATGTGATGATTAATGAATGTGTGTAGCAACCAAAGCACATTTGCTGGTTAGCGATGGAAGATGGCTCATCTTCATGGACCACTCCAAGTTCCGACAAGTCTCAACCACTTGAGGATCACAGTTCATCGGTAAAAATGAAGAGAAAAAACAAAGCTAGGGGAAGCAGCAGCAGCAGCACATCTGGAAAAGAAACAAGAAAGGGGCGAATTCTCACGCGCACATTTCCTGATGATGATGAAGATGATGACCAGAGTTCAGAATATCCTTATGATGATAGAGCAACCACCACCACAGACTCATCCATATTGTCATCAACACCCGAAACTCTGGGGTCAAGTGAAGAAGTAAAGAGACATAGCCATAGCAGCAGGCCAAGCTACATGAATCTGACAGAGTCTGTTAAGGCCAAAAACAAGCAGAAAGCTTCTTCTATAGCAGTCAACAATTTGCAGCAGCAGCCCCATACAACAAAGACTACTGGCTCGCCCTTCCGTGGGGCGAGGAGAAATGCTGATCATAATAATGCCAACCTTTATTCCCTTCATACTTGCAAGGACTTTTATGTGCTCATGAAGAGTTCTTCCCTGAAACAAGAATGACTACACTGCATGCTCTAATTAAAAGGGTTCATCAATATCTTGTTGTCTAATTTATATGCAAAGAGTGACATTCGTTCTCTGATATACGGTTTCGTTGTGAAGCACACGAGAGAAGTGTGTTCACAAGTTGAGCTGAGTATATTTGTATATATAAATACAGTACAAGACACAGATATACACATTATATTGCCATCAATGAAGCCATTGTTACTCATCTTAATGTATTTTTTTAATAAAAAATTCCCTACTTTTTGTAATAACCTTAGACGGTAGTTATTTTAAACCGGAAGGAAATGTTTTTGAGCAAGCCAATAAAATAAAAACATGGTGGGCACATCACATAAAACATGATCTTGGTTGTTGGAGCTGATTTTCTTATGGCCCATTTTGATGCACATGTGCTCTCTATTTTTTCTCCCTCTTAAGAGATAACACTGATAATTCATAGTTGGCAAAGCAAAAGTGAGTGAACCAGATTACAATATGCGGGCAAATATACTTCTAAAATAAATAAAGACATGCATGGCATGTTTGACTGTCTCAACCTGCCTGCTGCTTATTATATTCTCAAAAAGGATGAGCCCCGTGTGGCAGTGACTGGAGCCTGCACTTGGTACTTGCAGTTGCAAGAAATCCACTTCGGGACTATCCCTTTAACACTCTCTATCTTTGCGAACTCGAAACACCCTTTATCTTTTCAATGCATAGCATCATAGGCCAAAACTCTCACTCCACAACTCAATGGAGTGGTCAATGAGGAACGAGACTGGAAAATCAGGGCAAAATTTCAATGGGCGACGCACATCAATTCTCACCCGGATTCTTCGGAAGCTCTGCGGGATGTGAGTAGCGTTCTTCTCATCCAATTTCACAAAGACCCCTAAGAAGTTACCAATCGCCTCTAGTACCGCATTGCTCATGTAGCCATAAGGTAAACCGTGTACCTGAACCCATACTTCCAGCCAATTCAGGTGCGAAGCCCTTACCTCATCGCCTGAAACAGGGGCACAACAAAGAAGCGTTGCATTATCAAAGGCCCACGGTCCTTCAGACAAAATACGCTCAGCGTCTTTTCTATGAAAGAAACGGAACCAAATCAAGCCATCCTCCCCCTGATTAATCTGCATTCCCAGCGCCGGCCTCCAGACAGATGCCATCACCTGTTTGAACACTTCAAATTTGTATGGTTTATCCGTCAAAAGTCTTCCAACCAAGGTAAATGATTCGTCTTGAACCTCCTGCAGAACTAGAGACCCATCCGATCCGAACGAGATCCCAGTCTCCTCATCATTTAGGTCTAACTGATCCAGATCGGCTTGGATACCATTCAAGCCTTGATTATTCATTGCGACTCGATTGGAGAGGTGCAGAAATCGGATAAGCTCCACCACTGCTACCAAGCCGTCGCTGCTAGCCCACAAAGAAATGAATTAAATTTCGGAAGGTACTGGAATCTGTGCAAGAACTTGGATTTGGACGTAAACCCTAATGATAGGGAAAGAATCGCAGGCCCTAATGATAGGGAAGGAATGACGTGTTCTAGTTCCCACATCAAGGGCAATTTTAGGAAGTCCACAACAATTTAATATTTGTTTATTTTACCACTTGATCAAAAGTACTCCGTATTAAACGGAGTAGTAAACTAGATTTTAGTTATATAAATATTTTATTGGCATATGGGTAATAAAATATTTGGTGAGATCCTTTACTCGACTAATTGACTTATTCTTTATTCATAAGGTCAAGCTTTATTGTTTTTTTCATTTCTATTACTCATTGGATTAAAAAATAAAGGTATGTCACATATTATTGTTACTTCAATTCCAATTCTCTTGTTCGATACTAGAAAAATATGTGGATTTAAAATGAATTTATAATTCAAAACTTTCAAGTTCCATCCACATTTAAAATCCACACCATAAGAAAAGAATTTGAAATCCACAATTTGAATTCTATGAGGCACATCACGAGAGTTCGAGGTAGCACCCCCAAAGTGTTCTCTGCAAGTACAATAGAATAAGAAATGACAAAAAATCATGAGTAATAAATTTGATTTCAAACGTTCAAATAATTCAAATAAAATAATTAAATAGCATTGTTATTAATTATTAAAATTATAAAAAATGATATTGGCAAAAAACACTGAAGCTAATACACATTGCAGTGGTAGCAAACTGAAGCTAATACACATTGCTGTGGTAGCAAATAATCAATTCTTTTACAAACACAATAATTAAGAAACGACAAAAAAACTAATAAATTTTTTGCCAAACATTCAAATAATTCAAAATGATACAATTAAATGGTATTATTATTAATTATATAAGCAATCTTTAAAGAATGCATTGTACCAAATACTATTTTAAAAAAATTTCAGTGGTGTCATTGGACTTCCTTGGTTCCGTCCATGATGATACGCATGATCGTAATTCATCGCCGTTGTCAAGAGTCGAACGTGTTCCTTTTGCACCCCCAATTAACCTACGAAACCACTCACGTACACTTTGAAGCTCGCTCGGTATTTGCATTCATTCACACGTGAGATTATTATAGCCTAGCGGGATGTTGTTGTTGTTGTTGTTCTTGTTACGTTGTTGGGTGGAGAGCTAAAAAAATGAGGTTTTTAGGAGGGTAGCGCCTAGCTAATTAGCTATAGTCTGAGATTGATAGATAGATAGGGATTTAGGAGAGCAATGATATGATGTATCGTGAACTACCACATCATGATATCTTAAGATACATAATATAATTAAATTAAAGTAGAGTTATGTTCATACATACATACATGATAGATACACACATACATATATACCGGAGACCGGAGTGGTACATACTACCTTCGTTCTAGTTTATTTTTATTCAGTTTGACTTTTTTAGTCAAATTAGTCAAACTATCTATAAACTTTAATTATTCTCAATTTGTATTCCATATTAGTATAATAAAATACAAGCTTGAAAATTTTTAATAAGATAAATATAATTCAATCATTTTTATACTAAAATACGGTTTGAGAGTAATTGAAGCTCAAAATTCATCATGTTTGATTCAAAAAAGTCAAACTGGACAAATACATTGGAACGAAGCTGAGGTAGTATATCATTGTGAACCCGATCGAGTTCTATGAATGTGAGTATATGTGTGTGTGTGTGTCTATATATATATATATATATATATATATATATATATATATATATATATATATATATATATATATATATATAGTAATTTACCTAAATAGGACTAAAACATAATGACTTTCCCAAAATAGGACCATATGTTTTTTTTCCGAATGTAGGACCTTTGGTCATTATTCTTTAGTCATTATTCAAGTAATGTCTTCTATCATTGCTGGGCATTATTCCTTCCACGAAGACATTATTAAGTCCTATTTAGGGAATAAAAAAGTTCAAGTCCTAGCTTAGGAAAGTCATTATGTTTTAGTCCTATTTAGTACAAATTTCACACACACACACATATATATATAAGAAGTATTTTAAAGAAAAAAAAGGCAAAAGAGGCAAGAAGAAAGGTACAGAAAAGGTCAAAAATAAAAACACATTCTCACTTGAGAAAGAAAGAAAAGAAGAAAAAATGGGTACGTGAATAAGAGCTATTTTACAAGTATTCTTCAAATAGGTGCCACTTCGGGTCGCCGAAACGCCCCCATTCGGGTACTTGGGGGCGTCCCCACACCCAAATCGTTTATAAAATTTGAAAATATTTGGTGTGTCACGCTTAGCTTCCGACCCCGTACCCGTATAAGTCCATGTCCCCGCCTCGGTGGAACTTAGAATAAGAGAACGTGGATGGAGGTAGCTATAGCTCTATATAGCTTGATTGGTGTTATTACGTAGTGGCATGCAGTAGGAGCTAAGTTAAGCCTGTGAGGGGAAGAAGAAGTACGAAACAAGATTCTTTGATTTGTACTCGTTCTTGTTGTTGTTTTTTTAATCTGCACATGCAAACATTTAATGGCACTATGCTGTTTTGCCACATTTGGTTTGCCATCATACATGGATCACCCTCTACCTCTAGAATAGCCTTTGTTTCTTTCCCATTCTTGTCTCTCACCTCATTATTCAATCCAATGAAAAAAATTCCAACAAATTAAATATTATTGCCAAAAAAATGATAGACTCCATTTCCGAGAACCCATGAGATCTGGTCAGATGGTCATCTAAAAGAGGTAAATTGATTGAGTTTTGATTGTAGATGGATAGCAAATAATATGAAGAGTATACACAACTCAATATTACTACCAATATTATATAGGCAGGGTGCCATTGAATACTTCCTTATAAGAAAGGAGTTCCCCTTTCGTTTTTTCTTTGTTCCCAAAATAACTTCTTTATCTATTAAAGAACCACTTTTACTTCTTACTTTTTTATACCCTGACTATCACATCATACCTTTTTACTAATAATCTAAATATCACATCTTACTTTTATCCATCACATCAAGGGTATTTTTGGAAAGTCAACACAAAAATATCTCTCCCTTAAATCCTCAAAAAGTTAAAAAGGGAACTTCTTTTGGGGACAGAGGTAGTATATATCTATTGTCCCTAAAATAAAAGTGCTACATTATTATTATTATCAAAATATGACTTTGTAGTGTGACAATATAATATTGACAACACTGAGAGTGTAAGTGTTAGCCATGTGTGCATCAATTGTCCCGTGACGAAAGTTTGGGCCAAGTCACAATCGAATGTCGTGGACACTTGTGTATGTTAAATGCACTATAAGGCTAAGTTATGCATTTTTTCTAACACCAATTGGTTTTAGAATAGTGGTATCAGAACCAAGGTCACGAGTTCAATTCCCAACAAGAATAATTGCTAAGGGGGATATTGTTGGTGATGTGTGTAATTCTGCATCAATTTTCCCACGGCGGAGCTTTGTGGGCATTCTATTTTGGTTCTTTCTCAAAATTTTAATTAAGTACTCCCTTCGTTCCACAAAACCCTTCCTCTTTCGTTTTTTTTGCTTTCCACAAAATACTTCCACTTTCCTTTAAAAAACTACTTTTACCCCTTTTTTTCATACCCTACCTATCACATCATATTTTTCACTAATAACCAAACTATCACATCTTGCTTTTTCCCATCACATCAGGGGCAAAATTGGAAAGTCAACCAAAATTTCACTTTCCTTATTCCCTAAAGTCAAAACCGGAAGGGTTTTGTGGAACGGAGGGAGTATAAAACATAGATCGAGAATGTACCAATTTTAATTTTTAATCACTTTTAATTTTCTTACTTTTCCGATCATTTTTTTAACTATTCTCTCCATCCTACAAAATTTTTCGAGTATTTACTTTTAAAGGATTTAAGCTGTGTATTTTGGTCTTACTTTACAAAAATATCTCAGGATGTGATGTGTATATTAATAGGGAAAAAAATGTGATGCAATACTTTGTTAAAAATTACTAACGATAAAATTAACTTTTAAATATAAATGAGAAATTTTTTTTGAGATGGATGAAAAAAATAAAAATTTTATGGAACTTAGAGAATATCTCTTACGTTTTCAATAACTTTGAAACACTCTCTACTTTTTTAATTACTTCCAAAATTTCTTTAATCTCCATAATAAATCTCATGTACTCTTAGGCATGGGACGGATGGGAGGAAGTATGCTTTTAAACAAGTTCTCTCCGGTTGTTTAAAACATTTTCTATTTCATTTTTTTTCTCTTTTCCCAAAATACTTACGGTTTCTATTAAAAAATCATTTTTACTCTTACTTTTTCTTATCTTATCTATCGCATCATACTTTTTCAGTAATAATATACCCATCATATCAAGGATGATTGATTGAAATAGAGGGATCGGAGTATTTTATGGAGTTGTTGAGTGACGCTTACTTTAATTTTTCTGTTATTCTCATTTGGAAGAACATGCAAGATCTCATTTCTTTTAAAACATTTATTTGTAAATTGATATAGAAATAAAAACTAAAATTTACACATTCAAAAGTTAAAATAACATCAAAAGTCTTACATAAAAGAACGCAACAAGAATTTTATCTTGTCAAATACTCAATAATGTAAAGATACATATGTATAAATACTCCCTCCGTCCCTAAATAAATTTCCATTTTTGACTTTTTAAAGATTTAAGGGAGGGATATTTTGGTGTTGACTTTCCAAAAATACCTTTGATGTGATGTGTAAAAGTAAGATGTGATATGTAGATTATTACTCCCTCCGTTCCACAAAACTCTTCCTCTTTCGTTTTTTTTGCTTTCCACAAAACTCTTCCACTTTCTATTAAAAAACCACTTTTACCCCTACTTTTTCATACCCTATCTATCACATCATACTTTTTCACTAATAATCAAACTATCACATCTTACTTTTTCCTATCACATCAGGGGCAAAATTGGAAAGTCAACCAAAATTACACTTTTCTTATTTTCCCCCAAAGTCAAAACCGGAAGGGTTTTGTGGAACGGAGGTAGTAGTAAAAAGGTATGATGTGATAGGTAGGGTATGAAAAAGTAAAGGGTAAAAGGGGTTTTTAAGGGAAATGAGAAGTTTATTTAGGGATAAAGAAAAAACGAAAGAGGAAATTTATTTAGGGACGGAGGGAGTATAAGTTATCGAGAAATTGTAATAATAACTTAGAAGTATAATTTGGAACAAAGGAAAGATTTAATTTTGTATACATGCTAGTATGTACTATGCCTTGTTTATTTCAATTACCAACAAAAAAAGCGATTAGATTCAATAATGATGCATGTATGATCAGATCTTGCTCATCATAACCCTAAAAATAGAAGGCATGTAATGATAAAGATAGATAATGATTAATTAGGAAAGATAGTTGTCATCTAGTCCCTCCGCAATCGCATATTGGAGTTGTTCAATGGTCATACACATAGGTTATAGCATCCTCCACACAAAAATAATTTTTTGTTAAGAGTTACGAAATCTGAATGGAATTGTTTCAATTTTATTTGTAAGATAATTAGTATAAAATTAAAAATAAAATTTATACAAAAAGAATACATTAAAAGATTTACGTACAAAATAAGAGGTGATGATATGATATTATATATTTTCTCAAGTAAATACTCCATAATACAAAGAAGAAAATAAAAGTGGTCAAAGTTTGACATTTTGAAAAAATGAATAGAATATTCTTTTTGGGGACAGATGATGTATTTTTTTATATAGAATTTTCTAATAAAAAGGTAAATATTTTTAATTAAACACGTGGTATTTTTTATATAATTTTTTATAAAAAAATTAAATATTCCATATATTTTTCATATTTTATAACAATATTTAAATAAAATAAATTAAAGAAACTACTCTAGCTAGCTAGCTAGAATATTGAGTACGTTGAGTATGTATGTATGAAAGTAGTAGTGCTTAATTATGATTTATCCCATAATTAAATATGATTAATAGGGGACCAAACTAAAACTGTTCTTTCACAACAACAACAACACGGTGGGTATAGTTTGCTTTAGCACATTCTTTTCCCAAATATGGACTTGTATATTTCCATTTCCCATCAGTGATGGGCTTAATCAAGGCAAAAAACGTACATGCATTAACTGAGCTAAATGGCATTCATAATTATGATTCTTAATCAAAGACTGTTACAACCCTAGTCTTGTCCTTATCACGACCTTCATTTATTCCTTAACGTGAATTGTACAAAAGAAACACAATTAATAGTCGAAAGGGATCTAGCTAGTCCAAGTCCATGTTGCCAGTTCACCAACAATTTTTATTTTAATTTAATTTAATTACCCCGGTACGTACGTATATTTGTGCATGCATGCCAATTAATTATCTTGTCCAGTCACACCTGAGATCCGAGTATATACATACATAGTGTACTACTCCTCCGTAATTAATTTACATTATAGTTAAAAAAATTTTGCATGTAGAAACATGCATGCGGTAAAGTTTTATTCTAAAGATCGAGTTCCCTACATAGCGTAAAATATGAATGTTGTAGTGACAAATTTTCAAACGACTCTAAATATGACAAAAAACAGGTGTTAATGATCTATGTTGTATGTATGAACATGTGGTAAAATTTAAGGCCCATATTAATTATGTGTTTTCTGTCAATTTTTTCATTTACGTATTTAGATAAAAGGGAAATCCCCATAAATAGAAGTAAAACTTTTATAAAAGACATAAATAGGAGTATGCCTAAGTACTTACTAAGTTGAGGATTGTGTCACAAATTTAGTTCTACCAAAGTCTTTTTTAAGGGATCTTATTTTTGTAAATGCGCACTCCTTTAGTCCTATTTAGGTTCTTCTCTCTAGATAAAACCTTACGACATAGGTGAGGTAAGAATTAACTAAGACAAGAGTGATCTTTTAACACAAAGTGTAAACAACTTTCTGGGTAAGAGAAAAAAAGACAGATCTTAAGAAAGTACAGAGGAAGTATTTAGAGTTTAACAAGTACTCCCACCACCGTCTCAAAAAAGTTGTCACAGCTTGACTTATTTTAGTCAAACTGTGCAGCACTTAGACCATAATTTATGGAAAAATTAAAATATATTTTGGTATAATTTGAATTCAATAAAATTAGGCTTCTTTGAAACTATGATTTTTAAATATCAAATTTTGATAATAGGTAACTCTTTTAAGCTATATTTAACTTGTGGTTCAAATGTGTCACACAATCTTCTTTTCGAGACGGAAGGAGAGAGTATAGTCGTGGCCCGCCGCCAGGAGGCCCAACCATGGATCTGATCGATCTCCTCCACCATCCTATATATCATCAAAATTAAACAATCTCTCTCACACATGAAACATATACAGTCCATCGAGCTGGTCAACTGTGAGAGAGCTAGAGAGAGAGATCTAGAGAGAGAGAGAGAGAATGGGACAACATTCGTGCTGCAATAAGCAAAAGGTGAAGAGAGGGCTGTGGTCGCCAGAGGAAGACGAGAAGCTGATAAACTACATAACTACCTACGGACATGGCTGTTGGAGCTCTGTTCCCAGGCTCGCTGGTTCACTTACTTTCCTTTATCTTCCTTCCTTCCTTCCTACCTACTTCTTAGCTCGCTTGTTAATTACACCACCTCCTATATCCATCCATCCATGGACCGATATATATATATATATATACCGTACATTAATTTGCTATAGCTACAATTAATTAATAGTATAAGAATGTTAGGATCGGAGGATGGAGAATATATTATTATTGTTCGATCAGTTCAATTCATTCATTCATTCATTCCCACCTCCTATATCCATCCATCAGTTTATTTATTATACTCCGATCCTCTCACGATGATCGAGTAATTCATTAATTAGCTTAAGAATTAGCTAGCTAGGATGTTGTTTGAATAAGATATATGTATAATAATAAAATATATATATATATATATGTAGGGCTGCAAAGGTGTGGGAAGAGCTGCAGGCTGAGGTGGATAAACTACCTGAGACCAGACCTGAAACGTGGCACCTTCTCATCTCACGAAGCTGCTCTTATCCTCCATCTCCATTTCATTCTCGGCAACAGGTTTCTCTTTTCTTTTCTTTTATCATCTTCATTCTTTTCTTTCACCCAAAACAATATTTAGAAACATATATAGAGGTATACATCAATGTTAAACGAATTGAATACTCTTACATTTTCATATCAAATATTTTACAAGATAAATATAATCATGTTATTTTTTATTGATATCTACTACGGAGTATAATTTTTATTAAATTATTTGTTAAAATTTATCCATTTTGACTTCAAACATTCAAAACTAGATAATACCCTAGAGACCCGAAATAATATACTCCCTCCATCCCGGAAAACATGGGAATTTTGATTTTGAAGAAGGATTTAAGGATAGTATATTTTGGTATTGAATTTCCAAAAATGTCCTTTGATGTGATGGCTAAAAGTATGATTTGATGGATAGATTATTAGTAAAAAGGTATGATGTGATAGGTAGGGTATGAAAAAATAAGGGATAAAAATGACTTTTTAATAAAAATGAGAAGTATTTTTTGGGACGGATGAAAAAAGAAAAGAGAAAGGTTTTCAGGGACGGAGGGAGTATTTTTTATCTATATAAACTTCAAGCTTGTTTAGGAATAGCGTTAGAGATTAACGTTAACATTTTGGATAAAATTTTAACGGTGCAGATTACTTTGAAAACGGTAAACACTTCTTGTAGATAGCTTTTTCAAATCGCTAACGCTAATCTCTAATGTTATTCCCAAACAGGCACTTCATATTATTAAAAAAATTTACTTGCTACACACACACATACAGATATATATATATATATACACACACACACACACTTCGTAATTCGTATATTTTACCATATAAAGATGGCATATACATTAAGATGGAAATAGCCAAGAAGTAGATAAAAATAAAAAACATGCCGAGTATAACAAATGTTGTGGCCTTAATTGCTTCCCTAAAAAAAGAAAATCTAAAAGAAAAACTATACTTCCGTTCCAAAAGTTTAATTTAATTTTTGTATATAAAATACTCCTACAGTTCCAAAAAAAAATTCACTTTTGTTTTCATTTGTCTCAAAAAAGAGTTCTACTTTCAATTAAAATATTCCTTTTATCGTTATTAATAATTTTAAACTTATTTATTGCATCATATTTATTCATAATTAATCTATCTATCACATTTATCATATCCTACAATAAAATGAGGCTAAAATTAGAAAGTAATACTAAAATGACTCATTCCTTAAATCTTACTTCCTCCGTCCCAAAGTAAATTTCATGTTTACCATTCATGACTATATTCACTTGTTTTTACCTGTTTTCGTTAGTTATTTGATAAAATACTCCCTCCGTTTGGAAAAAGTGTTCCTCTTTTGACTTTGTGTAAAAATAAGGAAGTATTAAATTGTAGTTGACTTCCAATTTTGCCCTTAATGTGATAGATAGATTATTGGAGATAAAGTATGATGTGATAGGTAGGGTATGAAAAAGTAAGGGTTAAAAGTGGTTTTTTAATAGGAAGTGGAAGTATTTTGTTGGAAGGGAAAAAAAATGAAAGAGGAAGTGTTTTTGATAACAGAGGGAGTAATATAATAATGTCACTACTAGTTTTGTAGATCTTTTAATAAAGCTTTTAAATGATTTGAAAAGGAATTCAATCAAAACTGTAAACTAAAATAGGCACTTTAAATTGGAACGGATAGAGTATCTTTTTTGAAGTGGAAAAGTCTTAGGGAGTGGAAGTTGTAAATAGAACTTTTCTATTTTACCTAAACAGACATAAATAACCTTACTTTTCCTATATCTAATCTACCCCAAGTCTTTTCTATGTCCTTTTAGTTCTCTCATTTTCCAAATTCTACACATTCTAATTGTCATTGTTTTTCCTTGAATTATTGATCAAACTTTTTTATTTTAGAAATCACCCTAAATAGGACTACGACATAGAAAAAAGTACCAAAATAAGACTTTTATATTTTTTTCTCGAAATAGGACTTTGCACTATGGTAATGTGACTTTGCAGTGTGGTAATGTGACAGTGTACACGTGCAGATTACTATACTTTTTTGGTAATGTATATGACAATGCTTGGTAATGTAAGTCCTATTTCGGAAATAAAAATATGGAAGTGTTATTTTGGTATATTTTCAATATTTTAGTCTTACTTTAGTGTTTCTCTCTTTTTATTTTCCTCATTCAAAAGACAAAACTAGAAATTTTTGTAAGACCAGTCCTTCATTTTTCGTACTACAATTCTTTAGTCATTGAGAACCAATGTCGTAGAATGATATCAGGCAAATACAATACGTGCTTCTATGACCCCAAAGTGGTTCTCATTCGGTCTCGCAACCTCTTCCCAAAAACCTCCAAATGAGAGTTTTGGTAAGGGAAAAGAATGTAATAATCATTTACATGTAATTAATGACATTAGTTCCTAATGTCAAAGTAATGGGAATCTCTCTCTTATTAGCCACAAAATATAGCCACATGTTTTATTGGAACTCTTTTTCTTATATTCACATTTCCCAATATTGACTCCATAAATATACCTACTCTTCCCAAATACCTCATCCGTGTCAAATTCACTTATTAAGTACTCGTAGCATTTAAGAATTACTCCCTTTCTTCCTTTAAACTCTTTCTATTTTGACTTTGGACCAAAATAAGAAAAGTATAATATTGGTTGACTTTCCAATTTTGCCCATGTGATAAGTAAAAGTAAGATGTGATGATAGTTTGGATATTAGTAAAAAAATGTGATGTGATATGTAGGATATGAAAGAGCATGGGTAAAAATGATTTTTTAATAGAAAGTATAAGTGTTTTAGGGAATTAAAAAAAATGAAAGGGGAAGAGTTTTATGGAACGGAAGGAGTAGAATTTAGTTGAAATCTTAAGTTTCAATTCCAACATTTGAAATCTCATAATTTCAAATTGTAAATGTTATTTGAGATATCATAGAATTGAAATTCTAGAATTTAAATATTGATCTGAAGTCGGTAAAGATGTCATCGAAAGCGAGTTCATATGCATGGAATTGTTGTTGCATTATAATTGCAAGTTACTCCCTCCGTCCCATAAAACCTTTCTTCTTTCTTTTTTCATCCGTCCCAAAAAACATTTCTCATTTCTATTAAAAAGTCACTTTTACCCTTTACCTTTTCATACCTTACCTATCACATCATACATTTTTACTAATAATCTATCCATCAAATCATATTTTTACCCATCACATCAAAGGACATTTTTGGAAATTCAATACTAAAATGCACTTCCCTTAAATCTCTCTTCAAAATCAAAACTCTCATGAGGAGGGGTGTATATTGGTAATTGAGTTTATTTTGAATTAGAAGAATTTGATCCAAATTTAAGCTCTTTAAGTTCCCAAACAAGTAATTTGTATCAAATCCATGTTTAAAATTCAAATTTGAGTTTCCAAATGCACCATTAAAGTGTTTCAAAGACTTGCAAAATTTTGTGACTTTTAAAATGATTTTAGTTATAAATTAATATAAAAATAAAAAGTACGACTTATATATTTAAAAATAACACCAAAAGTTCTATAACACAAGAGATAAAAAGAATATTTTTTTTCAAATGGACACTGAAAACATGCAAATAAACGAAATCTATCAAGATATCGTAATGGTATAAATAATGTAAATAATTTTGGGAGTGTGGGACTGAGGGATATAGGAAGTAGTCATGCTGGTATACTCCTTCGTCACATATTTATTGTCCCAGTTATTATTTTAGTCTCTCGATAAGTTTTGTTTCCCATATTTTCGTTAACCATTTGATGAAATAAATTTAAATAATTTTTTCACTTTTTGTTTTATAAAATTTTTGATGTATTTCTAAATGTGTAATTTCTACATTTTTTGATAGGATAACTTTTACATTTTATTTCTATCCAATTTGTAAACCAAATAGTTTTAAAAAAGATAAGATTTTATACTTCCTTCCTCCAACAATAATGTTCCCGTTGCGGGTAACGATATTTGACTGAAATTATTTTCAAATAGTTAAAAATCGTATTGAATTTGAAAATTAAAATTACATATTAGAAAACTACATGATGAAAAGATGTAAAAAATTAGAGGTGGCGTGACTATATTATTTTATCAAATGGGCAACGAAAATACGCTAACAAAGTTAATAAAGTTTGACCCTGTGAATAGTGAACAAAAACATTATTGTTGGATGGAGGGAGTACATTGCTCAAAATCAAACGATAATTTTGGGAGAGAGAGTATAAAATATGGGGAATTTACTTAAATAGCACTAAATTACACGGAGTAATAACTTTTTCTAAATAGCATCATATGTATTTTTTTCAAATGTAGCACTTTTAGTCATTATCCATTACTCCATTAGTCATTACTGAAGTAAATGTTCGCTATCACTAGACATTATTCTCCCTTCTGGACATTATTAAGTGTTATTTAAAGAATAAAACAGTTTAAGTGTTATTTAGAAAAATAACTTATGTTTTAGTGATATTTAATGCAAATATTTCATTAAATATATGTTAAATATGGAAGTGTGACTTTAATAATTGAAAATCTATCAGAATCAAGAAGAAGAAAAAAGTGATTTTAGTTTTGAGAGGGATGGAGTATGTATGTATGCATATTATATTGATTCATTGCTCTATATATTAATTAGATTGTTAATAACAATTGAATAGTAATGATGGAATAGGTGGGCACAAATAGCAAAGTATCTGCCAGGAAGAACAGACAATGAAGTGAAGAACTTCTGGAATTCAAGCATCAAGAAGAAGCACCACTTCCATCGCCATTATCATCATTCCCACTCCTCCTCCAATAATGATCTTAACAACAACAACAACAACAACAACACACTTTATGATCAAACCCCCCTCTTCTATCCCACTTTCATGAACCCTACTTCTTCTTCTTCTTCTTCTCCTCCTCTCATCCAAACAATCCATCATGATGAGACCATGATGATGATGATGAATCAAAATGGGAATTGCTTGGTGGTGCCCAGCGACCCGACATGGTTTCTTGGTTATCAGCAACCACCTGATAGCCCTACTCCTGCTACTTCCAAACAAGACAACTATCCCTTGTTCTTCGCTAATAACAACAACAGTAATGAAGAAGATATCTCCGGCGCCCGGGTTTTCGCCGCCGACGATGATCCGGTGATGTTTCCGGCACTGCCAAAGCCCTGCGACATGATGATGATGATGATGATGATGAAAGATAATATGGAGTGTGGTCTACTGCCGCCATTGATGATTCCTTCATCGTCCTCTTCCCATTCGAGCAATAATGCCGCGGTTGCGCAGTCGTCAGAAATGCACGCGCCTCCGGCGGCGGCCTATCCGTTCCCATCACCGCCGCCACCGTTGTCTTTTGATGATGGGCAGCTGGGGAATCAGCTCATTGCATTTCAACCTTAAATTAAATCATGCATGCATGCATGTTCTAGTGCCATGCATGATCAATATATATTTGCATGTGTGTGTTGTGTCGCTTTTTTTTAATTATAAATACATAAAGAAAGATTAATATTGTTCGTTGATGATATAAAGTGAATGGAACTTTGTATAATTTACTGTGTTGAATAATACTCCCTCCCTTTCTTAAAACGATTCCTGTTTTGACTTAAGGGCAAAATAGGGAAAGTGTAATTTTAGTTGATTTTCTAATTTTGGGTAAAAGTAAGATGTGATAGTTTAGTTATTAGTTAAAAAGTATGATGTGATAGGTATGGTATGATAAAGTAAGGGTAAAGTGGTTTTTTAATAGAAAAAGAAAGTGTTTTAAAGAAAACAAAAAAAAAATGAAAGAGGAAGGATTTTATGAAACAAAAGCGAAAATGTTTTGGTGTGTGTACATCAATTTGTTGAACTTGTGTTGTTTGTATGCCCAAGCAGGTGAAGTGTGTCGTCAAGTTGACCCCAAAATATAAATGTCACTCAATAATAAATTGCTTTTGTCATTTGTCACATGTCACCCTGGCCCCTCTCTTTGATTTTTTCTTTTCCGACACTACAGTCTTGCACAAAATTTGTAAAATAAAATCAGCACCACTATTAAGAAAAATAAAAAAAATAATCTGGTAAAATATAGTTTAAAGAAAAGGAAACTAACGCAGAATATTTCTTTTTGTCCCATAATTTTTTACACTATTGATTCACGGAGTTTAAAAAATGATTAAAAATACGGAGTAAAAATTACGGAGTATGTAACTCAAATTTGTGTATGGAAGATTGAGAAAATTGTTGAACACCACATATTTATTACCAAAATAAAAAAAGTAACTGCATGACCTACCAAAAGATTTCTTGGGATATCCAAAAAAGAAAATGCAAGAAATTTTATGGGTTGGAAGGAGCATGACCTACCAAAAGATTGGTTGTTTGGGCATTCTTGAATTTCTTTTCACTTTTTTTTTGCTTTTTTTTATAAAAAAATTGGAGGGTGTGATGCAAATGTTGCATTGTACATTGGCAAATCACAATGTTTGTTGTCATATATGTTTGTCAATATACAATACCATCTCTGGTATGACAGCTTAATTCGCCTCACATTAAAAAGTGGCGCTATGACACTGCAACGAAAAATGGACAAAACTGATATCTTTACTTGATCAATGTGAATTAAAAAAATGAATTTTTGTCTTAGTTTGAGAATAATAACATATGAGTTTTATTTTGTTTTTTTCATTAAATTTTACTCTTTTTTTATTTTTTTCTTCTAACATTTTTTTAAAGGCAATAGTGCTATGACGGTAAAAAGAAAAAAGGAAAGTGGAAATAAAGGGCTGTTGACCTTGATCATGTGGAGCAGTTCATTAATGTCTTTTCCTAAAACGTTGGAATCTTTAGAAGCCCTTCATATGTTAATTTTGTTCTTGTATAAAAGAGTAGCAGGTATCGGCTAACAACTCCTGCTTGTCTCAACCGCTCAATCTCTAGACTGAAGACGGTTGCGATCAAACCAGCTACAATCAAGTGGTCCCACAGGTCCCAGAATTAAATGCCACAAAACATACATTGCCTTCTTTGGATACTTGATAATAAAGGAAACTAGGATGATTTTTGTCAATTTATTTTATTTAAATTTTGGCATAAAATATTCTGTAACATTTATATATCTAAAAAAACTACAAACAAGAGGTAACATTTTTTTTTTCATTTAGGACTAAAACAAACTTGCCAATCAAATTTGCAGCATTCATATCGATCAAAATGGCCTATATCCCTCTGTAGACAGAGAAATTATTACAGAAAGGTTCATCTTTTGGCAGCTCCAAAAAGAAAACATGAATTCCTTGAGATTCTGAAAAAAAGAAAATAAAAGGCCAGTAGTTGGGTGTACCAGCAAGGGGTTTCCACTGGGGCATCATGTTATATGACAAAGCTTCTAGCAGCAATGACTCTTGATTAGATCCACAACATGCTATACATTTTGTCTGTATGCTGCTAAACTGCTATTCGTGCGCGTCCCTTGGCAATTCGCCGAGCAATCACTCTTCGACCGCCTTTTGTGGCCTTCCTGTTCAATTCAGAGAGAAACATTTTGATATGACAATAGGCACGCGCCTCTTGGGTATTTTTGAACTTTATACTTTGTATAACAAATTCGGAACGATTTTTTTATGCGTGGTGATTTTTGAATAAGTAGTACAAAAATGAATCAACGTAGGATACCTCGCAAGGAATCCATGATTTCTTTTGCGCCTGATGTTACTTGGTTGGTATGTTCTCTTAGTGTGGCAAAGCATTGGTTCACTTGAAGAAGTTTCTCCTGTCAGAGAAAAATTCAAACTTTAAGCAATGTCAAAAAGAAAGCCAATGTAAAGACACAACAATTTCAAATTTTAAAAACTCCCCAGGCCAAACTAGAAAGGCAAAACTTGAGTGTGGTCATATTCTTTACTGTCTATTTGGACCTTAGTCCATATCCCGGAAAAAAAAACATAATGTTTCTAAAAACAAATAAAAAGTGATTGAAATGTTATACAATCACATACTATTTCAACTTCAACCCTTTTTCTATATCAAGCACACGAAGCTTGTATTAGGCTATATATTGAATCTCTACACTCTATTTGGTTCGGGGAACTAGGAAGACAAGGAGGAAATCACTTTTCAATGATATGAATTTTCCTCGAGAAGACCATGCATGTCACGGGAGGAGAGAGGGAGTGTGCTGAAGGAGAACAGATGTGCAGAATGAATCACATGTGTATAGTATACTTTGATGATCTCTACTTTTTCTCACCAAAATAGAACAAAAATGATTTTCTATTTTACACTATACTTGCAGTTTTCGTTTCTTGCCCCTTCTACTCAAACATTAAAATATTCCTTACCATTTCCTTTTCTTTACGCCTCCAAATTCCTTGAACCAAACAGAGAGTCAAGGTCTTTCTTGCCAAACCTCTGTGTTTAGAGGAATGTTCAGCATGTTCATTGAGGGTTTTGAGGAGAATGCTTTGGAGAGCTTAGTCTATAGTTATATAAAGAGAATGCACACATAACACAATCTCACTGAAGGCACATAACACTTCTAAAGAAAACATAAAAAAGGCTGTCAGAATGCCATAGTTTGCCTTTTAAGTTATTTGTTCAACTTTTTTTAAATCTCGAATATATGAATCATGATGTAGACTTAGCCCTCCAAAAAGCTCCATTTACTAGCCATGCCCTTAACTGATAACCTTAACAGCTTAACCAGTTACCTTAACAAGCAAACGCCAGTAGATGATTAAAACTTATTTTCATATCCTCCCACTCCAATGAAATGAAGAATTCAAATACGGAATAACCCTATGTATAAAACTTGATTTACATAAAAAAAGATTCACAAGTTGCAATCCCTCTGCTCAAAAACATTGGCCTAAATTTCAAAGCTTTAGGACCCAACACAATTCTATATCTATACACAGTCTCAAGTCTCAACTAGAGACTAGTGAAGAAACAGATGGATTTTAAGATAAGGCGGCAAACCCGTGTAGTCATATCGTATTGAATCAATTACCTTGGAGAATGAAATAAGGGTGAAAGTAACATTAAGAACAAAATAAACGATTAAAGAGAAGTTAAAAGCAGGCCAATTTATAGATAACGATACCAAGTATCTCCCCCCCAGAAGTAGGACATGTCCTCAGACCTAAACTCTACACAAGGCCATATCATAGTCACAGAGAAAACCACAATAGGTTAACAGGCAAGCATCCTTGATAGTAAAGTTGAAATTTTGGAAATCAATGAACAGTACAAGTTTCATAATGCAATCAATCAATAAAGGAACAAATACAAATATGGATCATAAAATGAAAGATAAATGCCTGTGAAAAATCAGCACAAACGCTTAAAGGACATGTAAATGAAAAATTTACCCTCGGGAAGAAAGAAACGGAGAGATGGAAGGCCACAGGGGTAGAGGAAACCCTCCGAAGAAAGATTTCGAAATGAATCAGAATTGTTTTGGGGGAAATGAAGAGGAGCCTGAGACAGGGACGAGCCAGAAGGTAAGAGCTTCGGAGTGATCTCGAGGGCCCGAGAACCCGTTTTCTGCGCAATTCGGGTCGAATTCTGGTTCACCAAGCGGGTCATGAAGGAGAGACCATTGCGAATGAGAGTTCGCGAAGAGGAGAGGGACGACATTGTTTCTCCCAGCTGAAATTCCAGTGAACCCTAGTTCCTCTCTGCAACTCGTCTCCATTGTTTTCTATTGAAATTCGAACGCCGTGATTCTATAATGGGCCGATTCTTTGGAAGCTTTTTTGCTGATAATCCTGATATATGCGTAAGCCCATAGGCGCACATTTTAGGGCCATTTTATCAAATTCTTGGGAAGGTGCCTTTCTGTTTTACTACCTCTGTCCGTGTTTTTGTCCAATTTAATTTTTTCGAGTCAAATTAGAAAAACTTTGAACTTCGATTAGTCCTAATTTGTGTTTAATATTAGTACAATAAAACAAAATTTTGAAGCTTCTCAACAAAGTTTATCTAATAAAATAAATTTTATACTAATACAAATCGTGAGTTTTGTTCAATTAAAACTCAAAGTTCATCTTGTTTGACTTGAAAAATTCAAACTAGACAAACACACTAGGACGAAGGAAATATATTTTTATTTTAATTTACTTCTTCCATCTCAACGAGTTAGTTTATTCTGTGTTCGTGTTTGAAACACTGTTCGATCTATTTGTGCACTTCATAGAATGTGCATGAGGTTGTCTAGTCCATGACATCGTCAAAAATAAACACACCATCCGCTTTAACGTTAACAAGGTAAGCATTTGCTTCACAACAAAAACACAAACTTCCAAAACTTGGGTAACTATACAGTTTAAGAAAGGCAAAACAAAAAGATTTTATTCGTTAAAAAGTTTAAGAACTGTGACACAGGCACCCAGTAGATCAAAAAAATAATAAGAAGAAAAGAATAGAAATTAGTTCTATCGCAGGATGTATGGCTCCTCAGTGCTCAGTTTGTAAGGCAGCCAAAATCCAATCAGAAGCAGCTGTCTCAATTTCCGGCTCTAAATGTTGTGCAAGAGACAGTGGAGTGATTGCAACCTGTTCATATGTTGCCACCGGTAAAAGTAAGAGCCATATGGGCAAAACTTGTAGCCTCCTTGGCATAACTTATGGTATAATAATGTACTCTTTTATTTTCTTTTTCTCCCTAAACAAATCAGAAAATTCATTGAACCAAGCATACTGTTAAAGTAAAAACGTTCTTTTCTTCCTAGACCACTTACTTTTTAAAAGTAAGTCGTACCAAATGCTCTATAAATTAACAATTGTCTCTTTTTAAGCTCGTGTTGCTGAATAATTTCTAGTAAACAAGACACAAATTGCAGGAGTAAAAGGAATATAGCACTTACAAAGCCATTTTCCACAGCTCTAAAATCTAAATCTTCGTCCTTGTCTTCTAGTTCCTTGGCTAGTAACTGCAATGCCAAAAACCATCACAACTCGTTTTGTTTTATTTAATTAGAAAAACAATAACAAGGTTGCATTTGCAAATAATGTGATCAAAATGGTGATTACTCCAAGGCCAAATTACCAAACAGCATATATTTGTAATTTGTTCAATATATGACAAGCTTACCTCCAATCTGAAGTACTTGGCCACCCGGTTGGGATCAGATTTTCTAGCTACACCAACTGACTCAACTTCTTCAATATCCTTCTTCTGTGAGGCCAAACGGCGAGCAGCGCCCTGGGAAAATGACAGTGTAAACAAAATAACTAAAAGAAAAGAAGCCAGAAAAGGCATCATCATCAACACCTAAATCCCCACCTGATAAACGCTAATCAGGTTAGCACTGTTTATATCTTTTCAATCCAAAACTCGGTTTAATAAGTACACTTAAATCGTTGAGATAGAGTACCAGATTTTAACAACCAAATGCATCCCAGTAATAAATACCATCTGAACTTCTGTTTACTGCTTTTAAGGACCTAATATATTTTAAGAATCATATACTCCCTCCGTCCCAAAATAAAAAGGTGTTGCTAAATCCACCCCAAAAAATACTATATCCACACCTTTCACTTAAATATGTTAAATCCACACCAACATCAAATTTATATTAATGGGGTGGATTTAGCAAATATAGGTGAAAGGTGCGAATATAGCCATTTTGATGGTTGATTCAGAAATACCCAAAAAAAATTCACAACTCCTTTTCCGTCAAGTCCCAAAATAAACTTCACACTTCTCCTTTTTCCTAGGAGTATTAAGGAATGATTCTTACAAACAAATTTCAATCACACGTTTTTTACTTTTAAAACTTTTGAGGTTTATTTCATGGGGGACTGGGGAGTATTTACTATTTAAAAAGGATGTAAGGATATAAGTCTGTCAATAACCTAGATGTAGTTTAAATATGGGGGTTGCAACGAAAATGCACTTGCAAAAGTCCAATATTCCAAAAATGACCACTAAGGGGCGATCGGAGCGCGGAAAATGGTAATGAAAGCTAAAGTGCGAAGGAAAATAGATTTTTATTTTTGGTTCTTACATTGAAAAATACAAAGCAATATTAGACATGAATAAAAAATTTCAAAATTTTAACTATATTTATATTTTTTAGTCTTTATATGATGGAGGTATGTAAAGAAAATGAGTTCAACTAAATGTTTGAAATTATTTGGTTTGAAAGAACTTATTTCCCCTCTAAATTTCTGCCTACCAAATTTCCCCTCTATTTTCCTTCACAATTTAATTCCCTGGCATTTTCCGAGGTTCCAAACGGACCCTAACAAATGCAGAAGTATACTTACTACAGCGGATGCATCTCGACCAAGCTGAGCAAGCTGTATGCCAAGATTTTGCTGATTAGGGAGAAAGGGTCCAGCAGCAGGATTCCGGTTTGCTGGAATGGCTTTCCAGCTCGGGGTTGATCTCCAAACACTCTGTTTTGTTAACTTGAAGCCCTATCAAACACAAGAGGGAAGGTCAGTGCATTTGGTCCAATAATGTGGAGGGTGCAAGACATCAGTCTACCCTAGAAAAAGATAGTTTAACAATGAAAGAGAAACATAAGTGGTAAAAGGAAACCTTATTTGCCAGAGGAGAAGTTGGTATTTCTACATTTAGTAAGCAACACTTGGGGAAAACGCCCTTTTCTATATCTCTAATGGCTGCATTAATTAAAGGTAAAGAAACACTTGCCGCTTCCTTGAAATTACTTTCTTGGCTTTCATCATTTTTCCTAGAAGTTCATAAACCCAAACTACTACATCACCAACTCTCAAGAATTACATAGGAAGGAGAACAAAAAGGACAAGAGCATACCAGTTGAGAGAGATTGATATAGAGGGGATGCCACTCAACAATGCCTCCCTGGCACCTGCTACAACACCCGAGCAGTACCTGGAAGTTTTTTTTTAAGTCATATGTGTTGAAATGTAGGAAAACATAGATCATTTAAGACTCATACTGGTAGCATCAATCGAGGTGCGTTCTTATCAGCATAAAATTTGTAAGAAGCAAAATAAGTAGCCGTTCAGATATTTTTAGCAGCAGATTCAGTTCAGTAATTTCTGCCTAAAATCCACGCCAAACGTGTCCTAGCAATACAAAAAATCTAGAGTGCAGAAAAGTGGATGCATGGCTTGAATAGGAGCAGAAATGTGGCAGACAAAAGGAATTTTAAATAAACAAGAAGAAATCATATGCAAACATCGTACAAAGGATACATACATGTGACTGCCACAACTTGATCCCCTATTGATGCCACTGATTACCTAAACTTATCGAGTAGAGAATAGAGAGAACTCAGCACAAAGAATGAGTAAGGATAGATTCTTATTTCAACCCTGCTAAATTAATATGTATAATCAAGTCCCCATACCACGGAAGGCTTTGACCAAGAATAGAGTGCCCCTGATAATACCAATGAGATGCAATCTGCAGGAGTCCCTGGAAGATATAATTGCTACAAGAGTGAGAAACGTTTTTCAAAGTATTGATAATCTTCAGAAGAAGAAAAAACCTAGATACCAAAGAGGCATCTTACCAGAAACTTCATAACCGGTGGCTCCTTGAACTTCAATTGAACTCACTCCAACTGTTTCCCTCAGCGTAACCGAATGGCCCGATACAGATTCATCTCTGTCAAATACTCATAACAAACGAATTTGTGTGTATCAAATCGTAGGCTCGTAGCAATAAAAAGCAAATGACAATGACAAAATGATGAAATTGCACGAATTACTACAAATATATGGTCTAAATCTCAACAAAACACATCAACAATAAGTCAATAAACCATAATACATGACTAGTACATCCTAAAACACGCATAAACGCTTAGTAAAACCTAAAAACAACAGAGATCGATGAAATAGACATGGCAGAAGACCTACGATTGGGGAGCGCAGATGTAAACATTATAGAGGTCATTGCGAACGAGGGCATCAACAAGACAGGCGAGACCTGGGGAATCAACCCCGTCAGCGTTGGTCACCAAAACGATAGGCTTCGATCCGTCCGGCTCCCCAGTGGCAATTCCGGACTTCGATTGAGGATCCTCGTCGTTTCCTGCCTCGCCGGCGCCGGCACCTTTTCGGCGGAGAAGAACATCCTGAAGATTGGATACCAGAGCAGGAGGCAATAAGCTGTTCTTTGAGGCAGAAGTAGACATTTTTATGGAGAAAAATGGTGAGAAAATGGAGTTTATGATGGGGCAATCGAATTCGTAATACGTTCTTTCATAGAAAGGTGGAGAGGGAATTACCGTTAATTGAACGGTGAACCGACCCGCGAGGAAGGAAGATCAAATGATCGTACATTCATTCATTTACTCAGTCCCCTATATTTGTCCATATTTGATTTTTGGAACTGTTCATCTAAATAATTTGACTCATCAAATTCTCTCAATGTGTAAGCCTAAATATAGTCATGTGTGATCTTGTTTGATTTTTCTTAACACATAGATTATTAATATATAATTTTTTAATATACAAATTACAAGATAAAATGGATTAAAAAAGTGCATGGGATGATGTGTGAAAATGAAAGTGGATAAATACAGGGGGACGGAAGGAGTAATAAATATATATATTCTTTATTTTCTAATAATTTTTTAAAATTTCATAAAAATCGAAGCAAAAATTTTTGGAACAAAATTTTACTCTTGAGTAATCATTATAACTTTTTTAGAGCCATTATAACTTTATACGGAGTATCATATATCAAATGTTGAATAAATCTAAACATAATTAATACTCTGTATCAAAATTCATTCGATATTTGATGTGTTTAAAAAAAATATAATGGTTAATTAAATATGAATTGGAAACTATGTGTGTATAGTGCAGAGTATTAATATATGTACACGATTGATCAATTTCATGGTGAAAATAGTTTGTTTATTTGTAAAATATGAAAATCAATAAAAATTCTATAGACTATCATACAATCCCACATACTCCGTAATAAATACTTCATATTCCTTCCAATTTCAACTTTTTAAAGTCATCTAAGATTGACATTTAATTTATAATTAAATAAAAATTAAATAAAACACGGAGCATTTTAACTAGATAAAATTATATTTTGAATATATTTAACAATAAAAATCTAAAAGAATTTTTTTGTATCAATATTCAACATCAATTTCATTCAATATATTATCAAAGTTTATTACGGAATACTAGTTTTGATTCCAAAAAGTTAAAACTAAACATATACTCTAAGACTGAAATAATAATAATAAAAAAAGCAATAAGTTTTCTTAGTGCCCAAAAGCTATAACTCTATTTCTTTACGGAGTAGTACAGACATATATGTTCACTACAATATAATAGCAATTCCCTTATGATTAGTGAACATTTAAATCCTAAAAAGTGCTTAGGCTAATCACCGTACTTATTTGTCATCCTTCTCACTGAACTACATTTCACTGCTCTTCTAGGGAGCCTATCTCTGTGCAAACCAAACAAAGCCACATTTGGTCCAACAAACATGCGGGAGGAATGTAACAGCCACTGACAGAAGAGATTATGTTACACAAATCCCATGTCTGATGTACATACATTGTTTGTATTCCAATTCTTAAAAATAAAAATTTGGGCGGAGGAGTTTTCAGCCCACGCCCAGAATCAAGATGGAGTCAAACTATTTGAACAGCAATACATCTCCTAAAGAGGTTAGAAAAAACAGCCAAACACAGCTCAACCAAATTTGATTTCTATCGTTAAGGAAATGAGAACAATGATACGCATTTGGCTTAGCAAACTTACAAGAAGGGTCTCACTTACGATAAGGATGGAACCTTCCTGATCCTGCACCGTCATTCCCCTTACCACCACCACCACCACCACCATTGCCTTTGGCGGAACCACCACCGCCATATCCAGAATCATTGCCACCGTGTACTTCGACTCCATCATATTCACTCTCACCACCACCAGTGGCGGCAAAACCTTTTGCACCACCATGACTGCCCATGTTTCCATATCCTTTACCCCCCGCACCAGCGGCACCATACCCATAACCTCCAGCAAATCCATAATTGCCACCAAACCCGCCAGCAGTACCATACGGTCCCCCAAATCCGTATCCATAACCATAACTTCCATATCCCCCACCATAGAATCCCATGGGATTCATTCCGAAATTCCCAACATAATTCCCGTAAGGACCATAGCTTCCATAACCACTGCCATAGCCACCATATCCCTTGTGCATTTTCATGCCATATGCATTGCTGAAATCCTCTGTCCCGCCGTTCACCTTTCCATATGAAGTTGAATTATTGTTGAAATGATGTGTCCGGCTTTCAGTCATGTGATCGGCACCACCACCTCTCTTTGGCTCCGCCCTCTTAATTTCAACCTGATATGACAAACATGGCAGTAAAAAACTAAGTCCCCGTTAACAATACCCCTATACTCCAAAAAACAAATTTACTCCCATATATTTGTTTAAACTTTTATATTTTGGCAATCTAAAGTTGTTAGAGGTAGTGTTCTAAGTGTAGGTGCTAGAACTTCCTTACCTACCTACAATATATCTCCGCCTAAGACTGCATAAGGCCTCATCAATCCGCCTAAGACTGCACTTAGGCGCAAGTCTACCGCCTAGGATAGCGCTTTTTAGAACATGTTTTAGAAGTCATGAATCATACTAGAGCTTTTAAGTTTGGAGTATTAATCTGCTGAACTAGATCAAACATACTTCCTCCGCCCTAATTTCTTAGGAAACAATACTGTTTGCAGTAAAAGATTTCAATGTTGACAAATAAAATGTTTTTATTGGTTTATAATGTGAACATTGTACTCTCTCCCTCCAAAAAAATCATGATTTGATATGGCACATATACCATGAAAATGAAATCATGTGGCTATGGTTAATTTAGAAATGAGGAAAAATATATAACAATATAAACCTTTCATAAAAGGGAGAGGTTAAGAAATCTTTGAGACAGCCTTAAAATGAAAACGAAAGGAAAATTTTAAGACAGCAGAAGTAAAAAAATACTCCGTATGTTTTTTGCTCTATGATATAAAAATGTTCCATAGTTTTTTTATGACTTGTCTCAAAATAAAGTTCTCCTTTCCATTTAAAGAAAGAACTTATGTTTCACATGATTTCTCTCCTTTGCACAAATCTCAATAACACAATTTCAGCTTTCCTATTAACCATGCGGATTATAATAAGGAACTTTATTTTGGGGCAAAGGGAGTATACATTATATTAAAGCATCGCCCAAAGATCAACATCTTTGACCTTCAATTACCAAACATCAAATGTTTCCCATTAAAGTGAGACAAAGGGGGTAATAATATTGCTTGAAACTTTTTTGGCATATTACACAAAAAAGTAGTTTCGTTTGATGAGATACTTTAGGTCAGGAAAAACTTTCGAAATAGTTTTCTACTATGTAGCATAGAAATGGGGACAGGGACGGAGACACTGAGACGGCTATTTTGAAAAAATGGGGATATCAAACGCCAGGGAGACGGTACACACACACACACATATATATATATGTATGTATGTATATGTATGTGTAGATATATATATATATATATAGGCACATGCATATATATATATATATATATATATATATATATATATATATATATATACTGAGATGAAGTATTTTATGTGGATCATGTATATCTAACATTGGGAAGATAATTCATGAATTAAATCTGAGACCCACATAGGGATTAGGGATAGAAGCCCAAAAATTAGATCAGGGAAGTGGCCATATATAATAAGCAAAGCAGGAAAAAGAAAAAAAACCTAGCAAGCCGCAGAAGGAGAGAAATTTTGAAAGATGATCGATTCAGCAAAATGTGACTCTTATATTTTCTCTGTTTTTTTTACTTTTTCTTCTTTCCCACTTTTTCCTAGTTCCGATTCAACTAGGTCCGACTCTTTCCGATTATATTGTCTCACTCATCGGTGCCGTCCAAGCCGTTTCGGAAAAGGGAGACGCGTCTACCCAGCATCTCCCTGACGTCTCCTAGTATTTATTTAGATTTTAATTTAAAGAAACGCCACCTGGAGTTTCCAAAACATTTCTAGGCATCTCCCACGCGTTTCCCTGTGTCAGAGGTCTCCGATACGGATACGACAGGCTGCCTGGCATGTCCGTGCAAAATAGGTTTTCTATGACTACCAACCATCAATATTTACAAGATGACTCACTTGTTTTCCGTTAAGTTCATGCATGCGGCCATCAGATAGAACCTTCTCAACAGAATCTTCACTGTCAAAAGATACAAAGCCAAATCCTCGAGACCGACCAGTTGTGTGATCAAGCATGATTTGCTGCTCCACAACATTTCCATAGGAAGAGAAGTACTCCCTTAAATCATCTGCAATAAATCAATTTGGACTCCGTAATAAGCTTTAACCTAAAGAGATTTGAAAGAATATGAAAACTTGAAATATCCTTACCATCACATAATGTTGGTGGGAGACCTCCAACAAATATTTTCTTTGTTTTTGATGATCGTCTGAACGCAGTTTCTTCCCTAGGAACTGTCCTCTTCACATCCACCTGATTAAGAATGTAATTATAAATATAAACATAAAAATAAATGTGTGTGTGTGTTCATACACACATTATAATGATAATGCATACCTCTCTGCCATCAATTACATGTACTTCTTGTAAAACCCTATCCGCAACTTCTGGATCAGCATATGTAACAAACCCAAAACCTCTTGGTCGTCCAGAGATTTTATCCATCATGATTATTGAATCAAGTACTTCACCATACTTGCTGAAATACCTGTTAAAACATTCTGCGAACAAGCAGAACAACTAAGTAAAGGTAAAAGATTGTAAGCAGTATTAGAAAATTTTACCCTGATACAATTAACTCCACATGTCCTAAAAAAGTTCCTGATACAGTTTACCCTAAACTTTTCATTTGATTTGCCAAACCATTGACAAAAAGTAGTAATAGACAAGTTGCATATGATAAACTTCGTTAAACCAAAAAATACAATAATTAAACCTATATGAGTATGATTCATATGTATCTCTAATTCTCTACATTTATAGGTAGAGATAATGTGTTTGTATGGGACCTTACAAGGTTGTTCATTCATAAGTATGATCCATGTTTAAGACAGTGATTTAAAGGTTTCACATTGGTTTAAAAGACATTTTTGGGATGGAAGCAAGAGCAATTTACAATATGTTGGACTTGAATAAGAGACAGAACACTCCTCAAACAAATTAGAAAGGCTCTTAAGGACATATGAACATTTTCTAGGCTGGTACCAGCATATCAATAATACTTAATATTAACATCTTCATAACTAGTTCATGTCTTCATTATGCATAAATTTGAAGCAATTGCAATAAAACTCTAATATAAACCTTTAAATTCAAAATTAAAAACGAGACTTATCTTTATAGAGTGGTATAAAACTAAATTGTACCTACACATTTGATTAAAGCAATTCTGCCTCTTGGACAATGAATTTACAATCTATAATGAATTTAGACTGACATCATTCACATTAATAGTAAAGAATGCCAAGCTATAACCATGATGGTATAATTGTTGCAATCATAAAGCCATTACTCTAACAGAGAAAACAGAAACAAAAAACAAATATGGCATAGATAAAATAAGTACCTTGAGATGTTTCCCAGGCAATGCCTCCTACAAATAGCTTTCTAGCACACAAGAAAAACCATCAGTCATCTTAAATCTCGGGCTTCGTATTTGCTTGTGTGCAGGACTCCATCATTAATACAGTATATCTAAATATTTTTTGGGTTCAATATCTAAACAACCCCAATGATCAAACAAAAAACCCATCTACTGAAGAATAAGGAAATGATTCCTAACAATCAATTGAATCCATTTCCAGAACGATTTACCAAACCCTACAATTTATTGGAAGGGCTACCAAACTAAGAACAATAAGCTACAACAAAACTAACCCTGCTGAAAGAGAAGATTCGTCAACGGAATTCTGTAACTCAATGACTGCGCTACTACCGTCTACGCTATGAACTGGCGGTTCAACAGCTGCTCCTCCGCTTCTTGAATAGATCTCTCCTCCATTTTCTTCATCATACCGAAGATCATCTTCCTCCAGCCGGCCGCCGCCGCCGTAAAAAGAGACGTCGTTATTTCCGGCCACGCCGTAATCCATAATTATCTGACTAAACTGATTCTCTACCTAGGGAACCTGCAAGTGAATAGGAGATTAATACAACCTTACCTTGTGTAAGAATCGTCTCTCTGGAACCCGAGATAAACCTGAGAAATATGCGCCTAGCCTAGCCTAGCCTAGCCTAGCCTATTTGTTTTTCTGATTGCGGTGGAGAAGATGATGAAGATGAAGAAGTGCCGCCGCGTTACAGCCGAAGGGAGAGACGTTTTGTCCAAAATATGTGCGCCTTGTAGAATTGTAGCTAACCAAACGCGACTACGATGCGTCTCGTCCCTCATAGCCGGCCCATTAAGGATCACAAAAATATATTTCCAAAATAATTCTTATTTGATCTTTTACAGTCTTCAAAATTGTTGTTTAATCATTAATATCTTTATTTATACATAGATATATTTTATAAAAAAAATTAATATTTAAAAATTACATTTCAATAGAAATATATTTTTATTAAAATTATATCAGAATGCAATATTTTTTTCAAATATCAAAGTCAAAGTTTCATACGAGTATTTGAAGACTAAGGTCATATTCTCTCACTTATTTCTATAACTTATTATTTTTTATTGAAATCAAATCAGAAATAGTTTTAAATACAACTATATTCAGAGTAGATCAAATCAAAATTTATGGACGAATGGTGTAGAATTTTAAAACATTCACTCCAATCTAATACTTGGTCTCTCTATTTCAAGTCCAAACTTTGATTAAAATATAATATCCAATTAAAATCATCTTAAGAGAGACAATAATAATAACTCATTAGAATCTCACAAAAGCAAGGTCTAGAGAGAGTGTGTATATAGACATTACGTCCACTAAAAGTAGAGAGATTGTTTTCAAAAGACTCCTAACTCAAGCAGCACACAATAGTACGATAAGAGAGCCATCTTAAGAGAGTACAAAAGATAAAAAAATAAAAGAATTAAAAAAAGAGTCAACTAAAGGAGTTTTTTTCTTGTGCACCAAATAGTCAAATAATTTTTTTCGTAATCAAATTAAAAAAGAGAACGAAGTTAATAAAAATCTTTTGACAAAAAAATCTAGGGGCCCACGCATTAGAAAAAATAAAGAGAGAAAGGCCAGAAACAATTAGAATTTAGAATGAGGTATAGGATATGGTTAAAGCTATTTGTATCCCAAAGATTTGTACTCTATTTTATACACCGCAGGGATATAATACACCAACATTTTGTATTGGTGTAATACTAATTTTTGTTAACGCACTAATTCTCTGTGTTAGTGTACATTTTTGTTAACGTACTAACACTTTGTGTCAGTATGAACCATCAATATGTTGATAAATATTTTTGTTGTACAAATGAGGTATAAATTTTTGGGTACATGTAACATGGCCGAAAGAAAATTAAAGAAAAAAATGATTAGACACCAAAATGTAATTTGGAGAAAAATATGAGGGATAATGACTAGCAATGCTCTAAAAGTGGACCCTTGCGTTTAGCCCACGTAGGAGAATATTTGTACTCATAGTAATTACTCTCAGCCTTTTTAAAAATAAATATACCTCATTCTTTTACGGATTTTACAAAATACATTTATTCTATTAAAAATATCTAAAATACAATCAAAATAACTTCTACTCTCAACAAAGTTATAAGGGAGACGAAATGTGATAATTTTAAATATTTTAGGCGAGCATTAAAGTATTTTGTGAATTGTGCTAAAAATGAAGATTGCACAACATATATCAAAAAAAAAAGATGGAGTACTAGTTCATTTCTTACCAACTGTACTTAGAGAAAAAGAATTGTTAAAATCTATCTCACATCAAAAGTTGTAGATAAAAATAATCAGTATATAAGTTATTCAGTTCAATTAAGTTATCAATTGGATTCAATCTTTAAATATGGTTCAGTCAAATGTCTTATTGCACAACTTAATCATTCTTACTACATCCTAAATTCTATCATGGTATTAGAGCAAGTTTTTGCCCACCTCACCGTACTTGTCAAGGTGTTCGTATAGACAATCATTTCTAGAAACATGTTAGTCTTTAGCCCAGTTGTCTGTATGGTATATATACCCAGTTGTCGGTGACAAAAGAAGGGAATTGGGTCGAAAACACCAGTTTAGTATCTTTCATAGTTTCTTTATGTGGTATTACTCTCCCTTGTATAAGGATGGTCTTCTCTTTGTATTCAGCAGAACCATTGAATATACAAATTTCCTCTCCCAATATTATTACTTAACACCAACGGCATGTGGCTCGTTTAACTCAATTGCTCGTCTGAAATTCCAAACCCAACAGCTCGTGGTCCTTTGGGTGTTGGCATTCAACCGGTTAGATTCAAAATGACTCAGGTGTCCACTTGAAGGGAAGTGTTAGAGTCTATCCCACATCGAAAGTTGAATATTAAAATAATCGGTATATAAGTTCTCTTGAGTTGAACTAAGTAAACAATTGGATTCAATTTTTTAATACGATTCAATTCAAGTGTCTTATTGTCCAATCTAGTTATTCTTACCACATCCTAAATTCTATATATCATAATGAAAGAAAAAGTTAATACTTGAGAGTGCTTAATATAAAATTCGTATATTTTTAACTTTCATATACGACTATTTTTAGAGTGCTTAATGGAAAATTCAAAATTCCATATACTCCCTCCGCCCCAAAATATTCACAACATTTGTTTTTTCAGCAATTACGGGAACTTTTGTTTACTTCTACATTTTCATTGGTTATTTTAATAAAATAAAATATTCTTGACACCTATTATTTTGAAGAACTTTTAATGTAGTTTTTTGATATGTAAATCTTATTTTTTATTTCTATACCAATATGTAAATAAAATGAATCGAAAAAACTTGATATTTTATATCGGAAATACAAATGTGGCAAATAATTTGGAACGGAGTGAGTATATTTTTGCAAAAAGCTCACTTCTTTTACGCTACAAATACACTCAAATCTATAAAATAAGCATAGACATTAGGTCCACAGATTAATTTTCCACTAAAAAGGACGGAGTACCTTTTAGTTTTATTCTTCAACTATAGCTTGTTATTTCCTTTTTAACTATTGATTTACTACTTCCTCCGTCTCAAATTAAATTGTTTGTTTACTATTCACATGGTCAAAGTTTATTTACTTTCTTTTCTTATATTCGTTATTAATTTAATAAAATAATATAGTCATGTTACAATTACTTTTGCAGAATGTACTTCATCCGTCTCAAAAAACTTTTCTAGTCTTGACTTTTGGAAAGGGAAGATATAGAAGTTTGACCAAAATGAAACGACGATAATTGAAAAAAGTTAGGCTCGAAAAATGCCAAAATGAGTAGAGCGTAAAAAATAGTTGAGGTAGGTTTGATTAGATTTAAAAAAAACATCCATCAACATTTTTAGTGCTAGGAGTGAGTGTGGTCTATGACGGTTCTGATTTTTCATAGAACCGGTATTGTACCATTACTATTAAAACGGTCTAGTAGAGTTTAATTTTACGATCAAAATTATTTAGTACCATTACTAATAATTAATTAATGAGAACATTAATTGTGGCAGTGCCAACTGAATTGAAGAAATAATGATAAGAAAAATATTTACACTAAATAGCACCAAAACTTTAGTCATTTCTCTAAATAGCACGTAAATTGTTTTATTTCCTAAATAGCACTTAATAATGTCCATAATGTTCTGTGATGGCGAATATTTACTTGAATAATGACTAATGCATAATGACTAAAAATGTTACATTGAGAAGAAAAACACATATGATGCTATGTAGGGAAAGTCGCTATGTTTTAGTGCTATTTAAGTAAATTTTCCACTAATCATTAACAAATTAAAGACGAGGACGTACTACATAACATAACATAACAACAATAGTAATTAATTAAGAATACATAATACACATGCACCCGGCCACGTACGTACACATCTAATCATCAAAGTTTTTTAAAATGTAAATAATTAATAAAAAGAGATGGATGCATGCATGGTTTAATTTATTAATAATACTCCGATCGATCCGCCGTAATAATGATAAAGGATGGATGGATTAATTATTATTGAGAGTGAGTAAAGTTTTTTCAATTGATGGTGGGGTTTTTGATGGACCAAGCAGTGAGTTTGGAGAGGTAAAGGGGTTGCAGGCCAAAGTTGAAAGCATGCAAGTGTGCCCTGTCACCTATTGCCTTTGTAGGGTATACCCTCGATGTTATGCACGCCTTCCCTTTTCCACCATAGCTCTCCACTATCGAATGGTCTACCTGCATGCATGCATGCACCACACGTACCCAAGTTCATTATTTACCTCACCTCCCAATTAATTTTATAATAATAATTATCATGATGATGATGATGAAGAAAATGGTTGGTTGAAAATGCGAAAATAATCTTATAGTTGTCCTATAAAACCCTTCGTGTTTGAAAACAAACGTGCCTTTAAAATGAATAATTTGGTACTCCCTCCGTTCCACAAAACCCTTCCGGTTTTGACTTTGGGGAAAATAAGGAAAGTGTAATTTTGGTTTACTTTTCAATTTTGCCCCTAATGTGATGGGAAAAAGTAAGATGAGATAGTTTAGTTATTAGTGAAAAAGTATGATGTGATATGTAAGGTATGAAAAAGTAAGGGTAAAAGTGGGTTTTTAATAGAAAGTGAAAGTGTTTTGTGGAAAGCAAAAAACGAAAGAGGAAGGGTTTTGTGGAGCGAGAGAGTATTATTTTCTAATTTTGCTTTTACTTTATATTAGAGTAGGATGAGATGTAAAATATGAGTCATAACTAGAAAATAAAACTAAAATTACTCTTTTTAAAAGCATTTTTTTCAAACATGAAAATTTTATGGGAAGGAAGGAGTGATAATAACGAAAAAGAACATTAATAAAAGGAGATGGATGATCGAAATAATTAATGATGGAATCACGTATAGTACCAAGACTCTCAATGAAAACTCCTCCCGCACGGGATCTATGTCCACAAATGCACCATAGCTCGTCTTATCTGTCTTCTCATTCAGTGAAGACCTGCTTGTTCAATAAATAAACCACGTTGTCAATTCAAAGAATCAAATCAATTAAAAGCTTGATGAGACTTATGGTTGTAGTCCAAGAAAGGTTTTCTAAAGTACTCTAACACACCCCCTCGCGTGTAGGCGTAATTTTTTTCATCTTGCAGGTGAAATCTTCATTTTATTTTTTAAAACTAGGTGACAGTGAGTTTCGAACTCGTGACCTCTTGTGATTTTCTTATATACTCTAACCCATGCATGCACTCATATAGAAATTAGTGAAATTTGCACTAAATAAAATTAAAACATAAGTCATTTTCTAATGTGGGATTTAAACTTTTTTATTCTCTAAATAGGACTTAATAATGTCTAGTGGTAGGAATAATGTCCAATAATGATGGACGTTTACTTGAATAATGACTAATTGATAATGACCAAAGGTCCTACATACATTGGAAAATAAAAACATAAGGTCTTATATTGGAAAAGTCATTATGTTTTAATCCTATTCAGGTAAATTTTCTCATAGAATTATTTTCACACACATATATATACACACACTTGGTACCATATTAGATTGTATTGGTGCTAACTTAACACTTGTAGTGTAGCTTAGACATAAAAATAGGTAGGCAGGTAATACCTGGTTTGGTCGCTGCACATGAGCACCACAAAGTGAGTGTTGTTGTTTCCTCTGAAAACTCGGAAGAAGACAGAAGTGTGTTCTTGGCCATCTTTTGAACCCAAAACCCTTAAACCAAACGGCCCTATTCCTCCCCTCACCGTTCCTCCCTTCTGGCTGCACAATACTTGTGGTTCCCTACTCCATCCCGCCTCCATTCTCTCCGCCTTCCCCAACCCTCTCACCTTAAACGTTGCCTCCACGTCCGCCTGCAAAAATATATACTTCTTCCGTCTCATAAAACAATTCAAGAAAGTAGACGTGTTTTAAGAAACTTACGATGGACTGAACTAATAATATTTGATGATAGATAATTGTGATGAGTTTGATTATTATTATTATTATTAGTACTCGATCGGTACGTACTTGTGCGGCATTGATTCCAGTAACCTCAACAAGAGATCCTTTCTTGAGCACAGTGCCATGCATCTCAACCCTATTTGAACGCATCATCTCAATCTCTTGAACTGGCCACTGTACCAGCTGTTTCCCCTTTTTGTCCAGCCATACACTTCTTGGAAATCCCTGTATATACATGTCCCAATATATATGTATATATAATATAAATAACTCTTCTTGAGCCACAACTACAAGTTTGAGCTTTTGGTTGAATTGGTTCCTTGACATGGTATCGGAGCCTTGTTGACTAAGAGGTCACATGTTTGAAATTCAGCACCACCCAGTTTTTAAAAAAAATTAAAGTTTCACGTGCAAGGCTCGAAAAAAGACTATGCCTGCACGTGAGGAGGCGTGTTCGAATATAAATAACTCTTCTTGGACCACAACCACAAGCTTGAGCTTTTGGTTGAATTGGTTCCTTGACAAAGACAATATTAATATTCAAAATATATTGCATATATCTGCTCGATCAGTAATAATCAATTACCTGAACTCCAGACCATCCTTGTTTAACATATTCTGTGCTTGGCAAGGACTCGTTAATCCAACCCCAAAGGATTCTCCTCCCCTTTAAGCTATCATAGAATGTCTTGGAGGCGTAAAACTTGCCATAGTCATATCTCAACCCACCAACATCGCTATCCACTGATCCCTTGTCCGGGATATACTTATCCCGGGCATGGTCGTACGTTCCCACCGTGTAGTACTCGTGCTTAGTGTCATCCAAGCTCACCTTCATCACGTGCTTGATCCCAGAACCTAACGACGACGTGTCGAGACCACTCGGGCTTGTCGAAACTGGGTAAAAGTCCGGACACTCCCACATCCCAGTCCCTTCGGCTGAATGGAAGGGGTGTCTCGCTTGAACCCAGTTCACGAAGTCCTTGCTCCTGTACAGGATGGCTAACCCACGCCGGTTCACTTTACTGCCGATCAGGATCCTCCATCTCCCGTCTCGGCCTTGCCACGCGGTGGTGGGGTCCCTGAACGACGTCGCGTTGATCTTGTTGAACTCGTCTGGCGCGATCAGAGGGTTGCGGGGAGATTTAACCCATTCTTGGAGGTACGGGTCGGACGCGTTTTTGGGCACCGCCATGTTCTGGACCTGGCGGTGTCTCGAGTCATGCCCGGTGTAGAGCAAGGCTGGCTTTCCGCTGGGGAGGATGGTGGCGGAGCCCGACCACGCGCCGTTAATATCGGCAGGCTGGGATGGGGAGATTGCAGGGATATGAGCTCTCCAGTTGACTAGGTCTCTTGAAGTAGAGTGCCCCCATGATATTTTGCCAAAATCTGCTCCTTTTGGGTTGTATTGGTAGAATAAATGGTATACGCCTTTGTAAACCATTGGACCTAAACATATCAAAGCAAAACAAGGCAACATTAAAAATTTAGTAGCACTATATATGCTGCTATGTAGGAGTAAGTATGTATGAATAGTGAAATTTTTATTAAATAGTTTTAAAACAAACGTCCATGGAAATTTTTTTCATTCGTCCTAAAAAATACTTCTTATTTCAATTAAAAAGTCATTTTTACTCCCTACTTCTTAATACCCTACCTATCAGGCCATATCTTTTTACTAATAATCTACCAATCAAATTCTACTTTTACTAATAACATCAAATGACTTTTTTGGAAATCCAATACCAAAATACGTTTTCTTTAAATCTCTCAAAAATCAATAACTTTCATGTTTTTAGGACCAGAGAGAGTATGTCTTTTCTTCAATATAGTACTTTAACTTTTTTATTTACTAAATAGTATTGAATAATGTCTAGTAGTGGGAACAATGTGTATAGTGATGGTTGACATTTAGTTTAAACAACGGCCAATGACGCTGGACATTTACTTAAACAATGACCAGTGGACATTGAACAGTGGTACTATATTGTAAAATAAAAACATATGGTATTATATTGAGAAAATCATTATGTTTTAGTACTACTTAAGTGAATTCCACATATGAATATATATTACCAATGCCTAAGTTGAATTAAAGAGCTTACCGTTTGGATCTGTAAACCCATGATTTATATACGTGGCGCATCACATGAAAGAGAAAAAAAATAAAAACATTAGCAATGCATAACAGGCTAACGGCAAGAAAAATAAACTTTCACTCAGATCTAAGTTAGGGAGTACGTAGTTAGATGCAATGCATGCATGATAAATTAAAGCTAAGCTGAGAAAGATGGAATAGTACAAAACAGACCGTTCATCCAGTTCTTGGGAGGCTGGAAATGGAAAGAGGTTCGATAGGTTTGGTTAGGGAAAGGGGGCTGGAGAGCTTCCAGGTCTTGCAACACAATGTGGGACCCTTCCGTTTCCATAATTACCCCTCCATGCACAAACACTAGTATTACCAGGCAAATCAACCTCCTCAAAAACCCCATTTTGTTCATCTTCTAGCTAAGAGTATAAAAGTAATATTGATCTAATAATGTTATGTAAGGATATGTAGAGATCGAAGATAGGATGGTGATGAAGAGAAGGCAAGAGGTTGCTGCCCTATTTATAATGACTCCATGCAAGCAAGTTAATGCCTACCCCATGCCACCTTCACTTTCCACCCACTAAACTTAAAAGTCATACATCTCCGATCCTTTGAATATAATGACATTCTTTTTTGTAGTGAATTTAAAATATTCTCCCTCCCTCTCTCTTTCTCTCTCTTTATATATATATATATATATATATATATATATATATATATATATATATATATATATATATATATATATATATATCTGTTGGTTTTTTTAAATGATACGTTTCAACATAAAACTCATATTCCTCATATTTAAAATTTACCTTTTACCCATACTACTCCCTCCGTCTTTTTATTAACATACATATGGCATCATAGCTATGTGCTACACCCTCCATCTCTTAAAATTTTTCACTTAGTAATTTTTTGAGAAGTTAAAGAGGAGATATTTTGTATTGACTTTCCAAAAATACCTTTGGTGTGATGAATATAGATTATTAGTAAAAAATATGATATGCTGGGTAGGATAAGAATAAGTATGGTAAAAGAGATTTTTTAAGAGAAAAATGAAGGAGTTTGTAGGACAAGTGTTAAAGACTATCCCACCTCAGAACTTGTAAAGAAAAAAAATTGTATATAAGCTTTTGAGTTAGTAGATTTGATTCAATCTTTTAATATAGTTCAACCTAATTACCTTATTGTCGGGAGTATTAAAAAGTATCCCAATCTAGTTATTTCTACATCATTCTAAATTTTATCAACTAGAAAAAAGAAAGAAGAAAGAGTTTAAGAGACGGATGGAGTATTAATTTGCATATCACATCATATCATAATCCACAATAAGATAGAAGTAAAAAATGAAAAATAACATGAAAATTACATACTCCTCTTCTTGAAAATATTGCCAATTTTGATCACGTGCGGGCCCAAATAAAAAAGTGCAAAAATGTAGTTGAGTTCAAATTTTGTCTTTGATGAGATGAATAAAAGTAAGATGTGATGGATAGATTATTAGAAAAAAAGTATGATGTGATACGTAGAGTAAGAAAAAATAGAGGTAAAAGATCATAAAAATAGAAATGTTTTGGTGAAAGAGAAAAAATATTTTTCCAAACTGTGGGAATATTCTTTAAAACCTACCTATTCTAAAAGCAGAAAAGTTTTATTGGGATCGGAGGGATTTAGTATACAATATCATGAAGAAATATTTGCACTAAATAACACTAAAACTTAAGTCATTTCTCTAAATATCATTTTAATTGTTTTATTCTCTAAATAACACTTAATAATGTCTATAATGACCAGTGATGACGAATATTTACTTGAATAATGACTAATACATAATGGCTAAAAGTGCTATATTGGGAAGAAAAACACATGTAGTACTATTTAGGGAAAGTTATTATGTTTTTGTGCTATTTGAGTAAATTTCTTATAATGAATTCTCTCTTCTACATTGCCGGGTATTTTTGTTCTTTTGCTTTAATCGCCCCCACAACATTGAATTTTATTGTGGATGTCCCAAAAAAATACGGAGTATTTGTTATCTTTATTTTTATTTTTGTGACCGTCCTAATTTAAATTGTTTGTTGTTTACGAAGTTTGACTGAAGTTTTTTCAATTCAATTTAGTTTAATATTTGTATGGAATTAATAAATCAAATTTATTTATTTAAAAATTATATCAAGAGTTTTACAAAACAAGAAATGAAATAAATGTTTTATCTTTTCAAATGTATAACGAAAATAGGTAAGGACCATGTAAATACAAGCAGTAAATATGTAAATTAAATTGTGACAAAAGGAGTACTAATGAAGGTATATCTCACAAAATTTCCGTCCTTCTAATCAATTTGTAACTATAAATTTTTTTTCTTTTTCAACTCATTGGAAAAATAAATAAGAAATCTCTCTAAATATGAGTAAAAAAATATGAAAATATCAAAATAAAACTCCTACTATTCTAAGAACAAAATAGGAGTATATCCAAAACTCTTGGACCGATGACTAGAGATCAAGTCCTGGAAGCAGCAGTGTGAGAGCTATTCAAAAAATCCATAAAGGGTGAGCAGGTTCCTTGTGTGCGGTGGGCACGGATCTAATTTTTTTGGCTTACTAAGTCACCATAATTCACCATCCCTGTTGGGCCAGGATATGAGGGCACCTGGGGTGGACGATTCCACCTTTTGGACCGACAAAATAGGAGTAATATTTTGTGTGTTGGACATGCATGTATATATACTATATATAGTGGAGGGACCGGGGACGTACATACCATTCAGATCTGACTCACCACCACCATATATACCATCGATCGAGTAATAAAAATAATGATACGGAGTAATATTTTTTTTTTTTGAAACTTAAAATAATGATAGTGTATATATACACTATACAGTAAGTAATGGACTAAATGGAGCTACGACGGCCTAAGTGTATAGCACTATGTATGCACACTATATATTCGACGCAGCGCACTATATGGGCTATGCCATGGCCTGTGATCCAAACATCTCTCCCATATAATTCATGTTTTCCTCCTAATTATATATAGAGGAATTTACTTAAACACTAAAACATAATGACTTTCCCTACATAGCATCACATGTGTTTTTCTTCCTAATATAGCACTTTTAGTCATTATTCAAGTAAATATTCGTCATCACAGGACATTATGGACATTATTAAGTGTTATTTAAGGAGTAAAACATTTTAAGTGCTATTTAGGGAAATAACTACGCGTGCACGTAATCCGGCGTGTTAGAATATACTCCCTCCGTCCCAAATTATTTGCCACATTTGCTTTTTTAACAGTCGCGGGAACTTTTGTTTATTTCTACGTTTTCATTTGTTATTTGATAAAATAAAATATTCTTGACACCTCTTATTTCGAAAAACTTTTCATGTAGTTTTTTTATATGTAATTTTTATTTTTTATTTCTTTACCAATGTGTAAATAAAATGAATTGAAAAAACTTGATATTTTGTCTCGGTAATAGAAATGTGACAAATAATTTGGGACGGAGGGAGTAAAAAATATTTTTTGTGTTTCAGCCACAAACTTGAACTTTAATCTTGCTTGAATTGGTTTATTGACACCTACTTCCCTAAATGTCCTTCTTGTTTTGATTTCTAGCTATGTGATAAGTTGATTATTAGTAAGAAGGTACGATGTGATAAGTATGGTAATTAAGAGTTATAATAAGGGTAAAAGTGATATGGAGTATTTAAATAGAAAGAAAGAGAGAGATTTTGTGACAAATTGAAAAAAAAGTAGAAAAATTTTTAGAGATTAGGAGAAATATTTAGTTTAGTTAGGTTGGTATAATTGATTTAAAAATGTGGAGAATGTTTGTAGGAGAGACATAGCCAGGTTTAGGAAGTTAGGTTGGAACCAACACTAACACTAACACTAAAGTTATAATAATAATAATGTTGTGCCAGGCCACTTGGTATGTGGGCTGAGTGTACAAGTCAGTATGTGTATAGTAGTCTGTTCTTTACTATTACTGTGATCGATGATGGAATATATACATGTTACATGCTACGAGGTCTTATTTTTGCTTTTTGCATGTTGGACCTCACTCGTTCATAATTTTATGGTTGTAATTTTATTACTCCCTCCGTCCCTCTGTATTTGTCTACATTTGACTTTTAGAATTGTTCATCTAAACAACTCATCAAATTCTCTCAATGTGTAAGTCTAAATATAGTCATGTGTGATCTTGTTTGATTTGTCATAGATTATTAATATATAATTTCCATAATTTTTTAATATACAAATTACAAGATAAAATAGATTAAAGAAGTGCATTGGATGATGTGTATATAAAAACGAAAGTGGACAAAAACACGGGGACGGAAGGAGTATGAACCAACTACAACCTGAATACGCTCCCAATAATGCTCCAAATAGCAAACTTTGAACGTTTCTATCCGTGATAATCGATTTTAACGCGGTTCATTGTGTTTTGATACTATTTTTTCATTAAAAATAAATCTCGTTCCCAAATATACGGTTTGATATAATTGCGGTTCATGTTTATTTAGTGGGGCAAAACTACGTTTGCTCGAGCCACGGTCCAAAAATATTTATTACTGCGTATTAAATTTCCTGATACTGACTCTCAAGTTTTACATTATCTGAAATATACTTTAGAGTACTTACCCTCAATTTTTTAGTAAGGACGCTCAGGTCACATATTATGTGAAATATTCTTCATGATCCTTTAAATTTGTGAGCTGTGTAGTTTTGCAAATCTTTAAAATATTAATAGTATATGTGTACCTATAAAAAAAGGCATGTGTGGTTTCATGTATTTTTAATCATAACTTATATTTTCTCAAAAATTTAAAATTATTTGGAGGTAGTATTGTGTGGTTAGTATTTTTTTAATACTAAGTCTAAAGTTATTCATATTTTGGTGGACTAAAAAAAGTCAATTTGGATAAATACATTTGAAGGGAGGAAATAATAATTTATATGTCAATTTTAAATTATAAATTATAATGTAAAATATGTGCTACATATGTTTTTATTGTTAAAACTAATAATATAAATTTTAGTTTATTTTTTACAAATAAATTGTTTTGTTTAATTATAATAAAAATTACTCCGTATGTAAATAAAATAATTTTATGACATGTGGGTCCATCACTTAAAAAAGTAAGAAAAGTGAGAGGAATCATTAAATCGATAAAGATGCTATAAAGGATACTGGATATATCTTTAACGCCTAGGGCGTTTTTGCTTAATTAAAACCATGGGGGTGTTAAACACCGCCCCATGAGTGTTTTCGGGGTTTCATCACCTGTGCGTCAAACTTTTAAAGGAGAAAGAAGAGAGAAAAAGTTATGGGTTCCTCCATTAAAAACAACAAAAATATTACATTAATGTCGTTGGGCTAAAAAATAGAATTTTTTTAACTCTTTATATTCACTCTCTTTTTTAAAAAAGAACACACACAAACACAC